CCACATTTTGTTGTGTCAGAGCCTAGAACTGGAATGAATTAAACAGGCATATGATGCCACTTTGCTTGTTTCTTTTAGTTATACGCTGCCCAACTAGCCACAGGCTCTCTGGGCGTATATAAAACCTTACATAAAATCAATGCCACTGTGCAATAAAATAAAATCAACAAGTATGATAAAACCAATCATAATAAAACCAATACTAACCAACCAAGGGAACAGACAATTAATAATAGTAAGTAAAATAGAGGAAATTATACACAATCCATAAAAATGAAAATCACGAGAATATAAAATTATAAAATTGTAAAATAGTTGCCGCAATTAACTAACTTTGAAACAATCCATGAAAAACAAAGCCCAACAGATTCAACCTACGAAATGCCTGTAAAACAAAAATGCTTTCAGCTGGCGCCTAAAAGAATATAATGTCTACAGCAGCCTGATCTCATGTAGAACAGAATTCCACAGTTGGGGAATAGCAGAGAAGGCATCTCTCTTGTCACTTCACTCGGGGAAAACCACAGAGGAGGGTCTCAGATGCTGACCACAGGACCGGGAGGGTATGTGTGGAGAAAGGTGCTCTCTCAGCCTGGACTCCGCACAGTGAAGGTGCCAAATATTCATGCTGTGATATACAAGCTAAGTGAACAAATCCACAACTGGCACTTGTTGCTTGCATAAGGATTCACCCGCTGCCTCTGTAATTCAAATACTGTCAGTATTCACCTGAGTATTCACCTGAGTGAATTTTCAGTGCTGCATGATCTCAGATTACCGGTTAATGGAAGGCCCCAAAGTTTGCTGGAGAGCACGTCTCCCAAAATAGCACCACAAAGACCTAGGGACTATTAAAACAATTCTGGGAAACAATTATGCAGAACCAACAGAGAGGGTTGGGTTATTAAAAAAGGTCTCAAATGACGATTATTTCTTGGAGCACTGCTAAATCCATTATAACACAATGACAAGAATACAGCTCAACTGCAGCTCTGCCTAGAAAAGACCATCCATCAAAAGGCAGTGACTAGGCAAGTGATCCGTCAGAAAAGTGACTGAGAGGCCAATGTTCACTCTGAAGGAACGGGAGACCCACAGCGGAAATGGGGAAAATCATCCATGGGGCAACTGTCTCCCAGTTGCTCCACAAAGCTGAGCTTTAAGGAACAGAAGACAGCCATTGGCAAAAAAAACCCATCTCAAAACCCCCTTGGACTTGGCAAAAGGGACCGTGGGGGACACATCACGCCTGAGGGAGGAGGCTCTTTGGTCTGATGGGACCAGAATGGAAGCTTCTGGCCTGCCTGCCTGCAAGATGCCTTGTGTGGTGCAAGATCAACAGTGCTTATAACCCAAGGACACCCATCCCCATGGTGACATACGGCCGTGGCAGCTCCATTTTGTGAGGATGCCGTTCTTCAGCAGGGTCTGGGGAACTGGTCAGGACTGAGCCCAAAGCAGGGCATTTCCAGAGGAAATACTGCTTTAGTCTGCAAGGGAGCATTGAGAGGGTAGAGATTCACCTTCCCACAGGACCACGACCCTAAACACGCTGTCAGCATTATACTGGAGTGCTTTCCAAGCAAGAAGCTGGATGTCTTAGAATGGCCTGGACAAAGGCCAGACCTCAACTTGACAGAGCGAGTGTAACGAGACGTGGAAGCGGCCATTGGCCAATGGTCCCCAGAGCTGGAAACTCTGTATGATCCAGATGCACAAAGCTGAGCGAGTCTCCCTCACGACAGCCTTGAGGGAGCTGCAATGGCTGCCGGTAAGGCCGTGTTGCAGATGAATCCTGGCACACGCCACCAGTGCCAATTCGTTGTTTACTTCTGTGCCACAGTAACAACGTTTTGCACCTCCACAGGACTGAGAATCTTGTTTACAAGTAGCAACAATCGCCATTAAATGCGTATTTGCATTCCAGGTTGTAGCACAGCAAAATGTGGGAAAGTCAAAGATGGGTGTGTAGTTCTGCAACACCCTTTAGCACGGGATCCAGGATGTGCTCCTGCTTCTGCAAATCGGGATCCAGGATTGGCTTTTCCCGGTGTGTCCTTAGCTAGGTGACACTTAAGCGGCTGTGCACAGCCATGACTCAGAGTGGACACTGTGCTAGTTTCCCTGGCAGAAAACACTCCAACCCAGCTGCGTTTTACCCCCAAAGGCGTTGTTTGCAATACACAGAACTATCGGGTTGGCAAAAAGTGATTTTTGGTTATGTAAGGGGGAACGTTTGAGAATAATAAAACACATTTAATCGGACCCCCTGCTTAGTAGTGGCAGGCCCTTCCTGCCTATGTTCGACTGCAGTTCAGAGATGTGTGAAGTCTTTGGTTCTTCAGATGTACTGAGTCATACAGTTTCGGATGATATGAGATGGCGAAGAATTGCTTTACTACTACTGGCCAGAAACATCCTCAAGCCTTGAAACAGAAAAAGAATGCCATGGGCATGCTACATTCGCCAGGGAAGGATCGGTCTTCCTTCAAAGCGCGTTGAGCCCGAAGGAGGCCCCGAGCATCTTCACTGGGGGAAAAGCACAGCATGCGAGGCAATAACCTGCTTTTCCCTTTTGCACGTCGCTCTTTACTGTGCCCACTACCATAAGCAGACACTCCAATGCATCACACTGACTGACTGACCAGGCTGCTCTGGCCTCAATGACTCCTCCTCAGCAAGGGAAAGCCCTCTTGCTTATGTCTTCCCTCTACAGTTCTGCAGAAATTTCCGAACTTGCTCTCTGTGGTTTCACCAGGTTTGAGGTGTGAACCATATTGGGCAGGTCTTATTCTCATGATGTTCTCCTTTCCACTAATAGGAAAGGGATTTTTAGCCAGGCCTTTCTGGCAAGCCTAACAGAACCATTGCCGTAAATATGATTTTCACATTGCATCTTAAATTTTACATTCAGGAACTGGTAAGAGCCCATTCTGGATTGGAAGTACCATCCAAATTAAAGGCCTGAGCAGCTGCTTGCCCTTCAAAGCGGAAACTGCCACTTTGAGCCCAGCCAAACCTCTCTGAACCTCCCTGAAATTCAGAGGAAGGCGTGAGTAAAGTGAAGGGCCCACTCTTCACTGCCTGGCACCTCCCCTGGTTTGCGGCTACTGAGGTATGGGGAGATGTGGCCAAGGAGAACAACTCCCAGCCCCAAAGCAAGGCCCTGCAGGTTCTTGAGCACTCCTGTGGCACAGTACAGAAGAGCCCAGATCTGCAGGTGAACTGGAACTCTCAGGACATGACTTTGCCCACGGAACAATTGCACCTCTGGAGGAAACTTCCGGCCAGCCATCTTCTTAACTGTCCAAGTCATTCCTGTAATGGACAGTTCCTGGTAACTTGCTTTGTTCGTAACACTAACTTTGCTTCTTGCTCAATGCTACGTGCAGTCTTCAGCTAATGGGGCTTTTTAGTACCGCTTCTTCAAAATGAAAATTGCTCTTTTTTCAAAATTAATGTTCCTGGATGTTGCAGCATCCCACTCTGGAGGCCACAGCTCAGCTCATCAGGGTTTGTGTGCAGGCCTGGATTTCGCTTCAAACTGGCGTTTAGTTCTGTTATGGCCAGCAGCCAAAGGTATGCAGCTGATGCGGGAGATCCACTGGGGGATGGGAGGAGAGTGTGCGTGGAATAAAGGAAAGGGGCAGCACTGGACAACAACTGGTTTCCATTCCAGAAGCAAAGCAGCAGGGCGAGCTAAGCAAGGGTTTGCTCTCACGGAAAAGGACCAAGTGAAAAGGTTCCGTGCCGATCAATGCTAGGGACTCAACTGTGGTTTCGCGGAGCCAGTGCTGCCACTGAAGCACCAGGTCGTTTTGGTTCGCAAGCAGGATTTATCACGATGATGCTGGCGAAATCAGCTGCCTCCACCCCTCTGAACGTATTCATTTGGCTTTTGCCCACCCCATTAGCCACACGGCTCCCCGGGCAAGTTAGGGACAATCACTGAGCTGCGAGCATCCCAGTGGGAGGCAGGGAAGATTTCCCAAGTAACGGAACATAGTTACGAGCGGTCCCTGCTGTAATGCAACAAGGGACCTCCATTCTGAATGCGTGATTAAAATCCTTTGGTCTTACAAAGACCTGGTGCTGGTGGAGATTAAGCAACCAGAACTGGTTTGCTGAGCTGGACAAATTCAACTCTCTGAATTTCTGGACCCTTCAGTAACCCTACACGCCTCAGCATCCATTACTGCACCACTAGGACAGAACAGATGCGAGACAGGAGGGTGTGCAGCACAACACTTTCTGGAAATCAAAGGTGGGGTTGAACATTGGAGACTGAAACAGGAAGAGGAAGCACTCCACTGGTTCTCTAGGCATCTTTCCTATCAGCATTTAATTCTGCCCATTAGATGAATCACATCCCATGTTCTCGGAAAAAGGAGCTACGGTGATTGACACTTGGTCCCTTGTAAGAAACACGGCCAACAGGAGGAGGGGATTTATGTACTATTGTATTTCAATGTATTTTATCATGTTGTAAGCCGCCCCGAGGTTTCGGCAAGGGGCGGCATAGAAATGTTATAATAATAATAATAATTACCCGAGCTCCCTATTCACCTCTTATTATGGAATGTGGGAGCCACTCAATAACAGATCAAGGCCATGCTTCTCTGCGAGGTTGCCCCTGGTGTGTGCATTTAAGAAGCACTTTTGAAATGTTGCCACGTTGGTGTTTCTGCTCTCCCCTTGCAAAGCAGGTGGCTTGATGATATGGCCGGGACAGCTTGCAGTACAGTGATGGCCCCACGAGGCTGCTGAGTTTCCTTCAAGGACCAGAACTCTATAAACACTGTATGTTGCACACCGAGAGGCTCAAACCCTTCCTTAGCAAAGAAATTCACAGGATAACTCTGGGCAAACTCACTCTCACAGGCTTGGTACTAGAATAAACCAATAACTTCATGTATGCCGGCATGAGCCCCTTGGAGAACAAGCGAGACCCCGATATGCTGCATAAACGCGCAGGAGCTTGAGGACTATCCAACGCTCACCTTTTAACTCCTAAAATTTTGTAGTAATCTCTCTTCTGGGACTGCTTGAGCAACCGCTGGGCTCTCTCCAGGCCTTCCAGAACTTGTTGGTCACTGTCATTAAGCTCCTTTGCTTTTTCATAGTCCCTGATAGCTGCCCATAAAAAGACAAAGAAACAAACACAAGGTAAGAATTCTTACCTATCCTGCAATACTTCAAGTCGATGAGATGAAGCGATACAGCGAATAATGACAACTGGACATACGTGCACTCCAGCACATAAAACCGCTCCACTGTGAGCCGAGCCATTTCCCCGTTATCTCCCGGGACCAGGTGTGGAGCCCTCCTCCTGCTGATCCTTTGACAGTGCCGGACAGGAGAGCTTTCCAAGCCCAGGAGAGAGGCTCCTGCCTGGACAAGGTGTGCTCCCTCCAAAAGGCCCGGTTCACAGGCTGGGGCACCTGCAGCCAGCATTGCCCTGCAGTCCCAGGTGAGCACAGCAACCTGGAGCACCTTTCATCCGCTTCAACCGGGTTGCCCGCTTTAGCCTCTCCTGGACAGGGCTGGCTTGGCCACAGCACTGCAGGTGCGAACAACCACAAGGCAAGATTGCTGCCAAGTGCTCTCTCGGACGGCCCCAGGGTTGGTCTGGAAGCTGTGGCTAGTGCAGAAAGCAGCAGTCTGGCCGCTGGCTGGAGCCACCCCTTCGCTGAGGGCAGTGCGCTGGCACAAGCCGTTGATACTCGTGTAAAAAGCCACAAATGAGTGGTGCCAGGATACCTGGGAGGACGCCTTTGCCCTCAGCAACTTGCCCACTCACTGAGCTTGGATGCCACGGCCCTGGTGGTTCCATGTGGGCTTATTAGTCTCCCGGGGAAAGAAGGGCCTTTGGCACAATGGCTCCGTTTCTTGGAACTCCCTGCTTTTGGAGGTCAAAGAGGCCTCATGTCATGTGGCCTTTCAGTGCCTTCTGAAAACACTTTTATTTCAGGAAGCGTTCCTTGACGTTTCAAAGTACGGATCCCTCTGCAGGTATTCATCCATTTCCAGTCTTGCTGTAGCCTCTCATGTTTCCAGCTGAACAATTTATCCATCTGACTGTCTGAAACACGTTGTGCTGTGCAGGCAAAGGCAGTTAGCCTGTTCCTGAAATCTGAAATTTAGCAATGCCCGTGGTTCAAGAGCGAGGGCGCTGTTTTGCTCTCCCTCCCCTGCTCCGTGTTCTGCTCTCCAGTGCGGTGGTGCAACTAGGGTGGGGCTTTGGGGGCCAAGTCCAGGATGCCACAGCCCAGGGCTCCCCCAAATTTCACCCAGACAAGGGCAGCTGCCGCTCAGTAGGTCATAAAGTTGCTATGATGTGCATTTAAACTGCACAAGTACATGCCCTCAGTCTTTTTTTAAAAAAGAGTTTTGTTGTTGTTCCAGTGTATCTGGAATGTAGAAGCAATTTTAAGGCATGGAATAAGAATAGGAACATGGAAGGGATGGTGCAGAGAGGAGGAGGAGGAGGAGGAGGAGAGAGGCCCCATTAGACCATTAAGCCCAGGGTCCAAAATGATCAAATTGCACTATGGCACAAGAGCTCCTACCTATTTCCTCCCCAGCTCCATTCTTTCTCATCCCAAGCTCTCCAGCAAATTAACACAGTATGTGGAAAGAACCCCCCCCCCCAAACTTCTGATTCAAAAGGTACAGCTACAGTCTGAGTAACGAGCCCCCTGAAATAAGCCATGGGCACCCCAAAGCACCCATCTACCCGACTGTCAGACCGTGCCTGGCATGGTGCTGCAACGCAGGGGCAAGCCAACGGCCGTCTTGGCCCGTTCAAGAGGTTGTCCCCAGGAGCGACAATCCTTCATACTGGAAATCCCTCCAAGACAGAGCTGGCTTCTACCACCAAAAATAAGCCTTGAACCTCCCCTTGCTGTGAGCCACTGCCCTGCGGCGCTTCAGTGGGTGCACAGAACTTGGCCTCGGAAGGAAATGCCCTTCAGTGTCAGTATGTTCTGTGCGTACATGCAAGGGCCATGTCCCAGCACTGAGAGACAGTGTGGCATAGTGGTGAGAGCACTGGGCTGGGGACTGGAGGAATCCAGGTTCTAGTTTCCACTCAGCCATGGAGCTCACTAGGTGACTTTGGGCCCATCACCAACTCTTGGGCCAAACCGAAAAGATGGACAGTTTAGAAACCCAGTATTCTGAGTGCGACAATTGAGACTTTTAAAAGCACAAACGCACCAGGGAGGGGAAGAGAGAAGCACAAGGCATCATTTTATAAATGTATGATGCCAGCCACTGAGAGAGAGAGGGGGGGAGAGGCTTCACTTCTGTCTTAGTGTCCTTCTTCATGGCCTGCTTTGCATTTCCAACGTAATGAGTCTTTTCTGGTTTCTCTGTTTCTAATTTTGGAATGTCTCATTATGGATCACAAGACTTCTAGCTTTGCTAAGTAAGACAAAGTATTTGCATCAGATTATCTTCCAGCAGCTGTTCGCTCTCAGTTGGCATCACATTTATCTTTTTAGTTTCTGGGCACGCTGGCAGGAGATGGTGGCCAATTTATATCACTTAGACACTCCGTGGCTGCATGCAATTCCTTTTTGAAGAATGCTTCTTTAAAAAAGTACTTCTGATGCCTCAGTGATTTAAAACATCCATCCCCCAACAAAGTGCAAATCTGACTTCTCTTTCATTCCACTAGCCAGCCTACTGTGATACGCCACTAAAGTGCCTCGCCTGGCACAGACAAGGCTTTTTAAAAAAGAAAAAACACTTTGGCCATTCACTTAGCAAGCCAGCGGGAGCCGGCTGAGCACGCCTGTCGAATACAGTCCGAGGCGGCGTCCGCGCTGGAGGGGGCGCTCCTGTGAATTTTCCATCATGCAGCTCGATTCCCCCAGTGATGTGACACGATGACAACCTCGTCTGTTCCTTCAGTGTACACATTATAGCAGAAAAAAGTCAGAGTGAATGACAGCCCGCTCACAGGCAGTTTCCCACCCATTGCTCCAGGCACTGGGACAGAGCCGCTGCCGGGAGAGAGAAGGTTCTCGCATGCAGGCCGCACGTGGACGGCTCAAGGCAAAGCAAAACAGGTCCGTGCGTGAGGCTCAGGGAGGGCCAGGTGGGGGAGACCAGAGTGTGAATGCGAGCTCAGCCACGGAACTCCACTGGGGCACTCACTGGCCTTCCTTCCAACCTCCCTCACAGGGTTACCAGGAAGAGAAGATGGCAGGGGCAGGGAGAATGAACCATGTATTCCGCGGAGGATGGATGGGGTTCCACCACCGTCCCCGAACCACCCTCAGAGTCATGTCTGGGCATTGTGTGGGCCACCAGCCACAGGGTCCCTGCTCACTCTGTTTAGTCCCCGGCTCGCCTCACTGCCATCGAGTTTGCAGGGTGGTCCCAGGGGCACAAGGGAAAGAGGCAGGCTGCGCTCTTTCAGAATCACTCAAGTTGGCCTTTCTGAGCCACCATCAAGGCAAGCAACCGATTCTTTGCTGGTGCCACCAAAATTCAGCAGCAAAGGGGATGGGGCCTAAAGCTGCCCACCCCACCTTAAGTCAACATTTTCTACGGCACGTTTTGGCTACACTTATCTTCCTCGACCCCCATATCCTTCAGGACCCACAACCCCCCCCCCCCACTCACTATGGGATAAATTGGTTTTTAGCACATTTCTTTGAATTTAGCAGACTATGTCCTGAATAGGATCTATTCAGGTTTGCCCAGCCGATGCCTTTAGAAGCTGGTCTTCCCATCCTTGCACCAGTCGCACACCCCTCCATCCCTCGGGGAGCCTTGAAAGTACACAGGCCTGCCAACTTCGCTCTGTGCCGCATCAGGCAGCCAAGGTGCCTGCCATGAGCAGAGGTGAGGGGCCACAGTGCCCCTGCAGGCCACTGAAGGGCCCGGCCCTTGGCTCCTGATGTCACTGGATCCCCAGATGAAGCACCATGCAGGCTTCCTCGAGCTCAGCAAGGCCCAGGTGTCGCTAAGAGACGGAGTGACCAGCTTAGCTGCTCCCGCCTGTTCTTCCCGTGGGGAATATGAAGGGCAGGAGCGAGGCAGAGTCATCTGGCATCATCACTCTGCCGGTGCCTTTTGAGGTCCGGTTCTTCTTCAGACGAAAGTGACATTTCTGGGTCACGGGCACCTTCGGGGAACTATCGCCTGGCTGTCATGTGAGCTGCCCCAAAGGACAAGTAGCACCCCCAGATAACTAGGTACGAGGCAGAGGTGCAGTCTGAGTCCCAGCACGGTAATCCACTCCTCTGAACCCTTCTAAATCTTCGGCATCCACAAACACCCCATTCCGCAGCAATCCCAGGTGCCAGTCAGAAAGCATGTGCCTGCTTCAAGTGGAAAGGGGGGCATGCTTTGATTTGCCCAACAACCTCTGGGTTCCCCCATGCATCACGTGGCGCATCAAACCACTTCCCACTGATGTCCCCATGTAACTGGATGCCCTGCCACGTACCTTCCTCATACTGTTCTTCCAGGATGTACGCCGCAGCTCTGTCTTTGAGTGCATTTACATTATCCGGCTCCAGCTGTAAAACTTCAGTGCAAAGTGTGATGGCTTTCGTTGACTGCTGGTCCTGGAAAAGGGGAAAGGACCAACAAGGTCAGCGTTTGCGATATTCGCATTCATATTCTGCAAAGGCTGAAAGAGAGTGTTTACCTTCGAGAGGCAGTGGCAGATTCTCTCTCTGGCTTGTGTGGTGTAAACAGGAACTTTGCTCTCAGTTTTCATCACAGTCTCATATTTATTAATGGCATCTTGGTACCTGTTTACAGTGGGGGAGAACAGCTAAGAAATTCTGGATAGCAGCTTTTCAGGGCATCAATTTTTCAGAATACACAAAAAATGATTTTAAGGACGCTGGATGACGTGTGATGCAGGGCGCGAGAGGTTCTCAGCCTGAAAAGGCACGGCACGGTGGAGCAGAAACTCATTTTATGAAGTTTTTACGGTGCTAGGCTGTATCGCTTCTGACCACAGGAACATGAATATGCAAAAGTAAAATGAAATTCCATCAAAACCCTGCATGTCACCGAGAAAGACTTTAACCATTTGTGGGTGTGGCTCTTCTTTCATTTTCTCTGCATGAAGGGTTTAACTAGCTGTCTTCCTGAGACTTCTTCGATTTTCATTGTGGGAGGAAAAACGTGTGTTGTACATCGTTTTTTCCTTGGTGTTTGTATTTTGCTGCCTTTCCATATATTCTATTCACCATGCACAAGGTGGTACATGAGGCTTTTGCTCCAGTTTGAATTTGAATAGCTTGCTCTAACACAAGCCTCGGAAACGGCTGGAACACACGGGGAGAGAGGCCACAAACTTCTGTGCACGGAGGACTGTCTTTAGGTGAATGACAAAACTGAGAGCCATTCAAAGCAGAGAGTGGATGCATCTCATCTCTTCCACAAAGCCACAGTGGAGAGGGGAAGGGAGCAAAGGGGAGAATGCATGAGCTAAAATTTTGCAAGGCACTCAATTAAGGATCATGCAGCCTCCCCCAGGCTGAACCCATCCAGACGCGCTAGACTGCACTTGGCAGCATGTGCTAGCCAAGGTTTTTCCTCCAAGCCTGGAGAGCACCAAGACATCCAAAACACATTCTCTGCACATCGTGTTTCCTGTGCTTTGAATTGTTCTTGTTCCCGATGCCAACCCCTATCCTCCAAATGCTAGGAATCTGAATTTCTAGGAAAAAATTTATTTCTGGACAGATGTACCATTTTATTTGCAAATATTCTGTGATCCCCACATGCCAACACGAGACATGAAAATACTGCTTTAAATAGGGCCTGGCAATTTGGGCTAAAACTAACAGTCCTGATGCTTTATTTTATTGGGGAGATGAGAAGATACATAACACTTTCCACAGATGCCACCTGGCAAACCGCTTTAATTAATCACAAAGCCAATTGATTTCCTCTTTATTTGTATCTGCAACTGACCCGATAACAAAGCTATGCTTCTCTTTGTCATTTCCACAACACTGCAAGTTTCACACATACCGTGTGCCAATTACCTTCTGTGACCAGAGGCTTATATTCCATGCCTACACTGCCATAGGAAACACATGAAACATTCTCCTAACTAAGCCTGTAAAATTTAAGACTCAGCCCCCGGTCACTGCGCTGCAAAAGGCAGGCCATGGCGCTTAAGCATTTAGGAATAAATCAGTGGCCCATCCCCTGGGGAGGAAACTGAATATTCCCACCTGGCTACTAAAGAGCCAGCGATGAGCTTTACTGAAACAGGATGGCTGTAATTTCAGTATGATGGCAGGACAAGCCGCACAGGGAAAACATTCTGCAGTTACGAAAAAAGCAATGTATCAGGAAACCACGATGCGCTGCTTTACATCAGGTGGGGTGGGAGGTGGGGTGGAAAACAGGGCAGATGGGCCAAGTGGATGGTCTGGGAAAAGCAGCTGCAATAGCTAAGAGGCAGGGAATTGCTTAGCACTCTGGAAGTGAGGCTACTGAGGGACCAACCAATTAGCCATGTGCGAGTATAATTATTAGAGGAAAATGAAAAAGAAAAGTAGAAAGATGGAAAGAAGCACAGACAATGAAGTTCTAAGTCAGGGGGAAAGGGCAGTCGGGGAAGAAGCTGGTTAGCATGAGGTGAAGAGAGGAAGCGTTGCCTTCTCTGAAATGGGTCTGTTTGTTACTGCTGGAACCGGGCTCCATTTGGGCGCAGCTGTATACTAGGTCTGGGGGGTTCGCTGCTCATCTTTGGGGACCGGCTGCATCTCCCATGCAGGCATTCTGTGGAATCACTGGGACAGCGTCTCAAACTGCCGAGTGCACCGTGAGCCCCGTAACTGACCTACCCCCGCAGCATCACACGACTGTGCTTGCCAGGCCTGCGGCAAAGCCAGGAGCTCACCTCTCTTGCTGGATGAGTTCCTCCGCTGATGCGATCTGTTTGTTCAGTTTCTTTACTTGCTTGTAGTGAGAAAAGCACTCCTTGTGGTCTTGGTCAAGTTTCAGACATTCACGGACTTCACTGTTCATATATGAGATAGAGAGGAGAAGCTAAGTCAACTCTGTTCCACAGATGGAGGTGTTAGGCCCGAAGGCCCTGGTCTCCGGCCTCACTCCTAGCTTTAGTGTGTGTGTGCGCGTGCACGTGTGTGTGTGTGCACACGTAAGCCATAGCTTCTCCGGGTCATCTCCCTGTTTGGCTGAATGGGGAGATTAATCATCAGTCCAAGGGCTGAAGTGTGGCCAAAGGCAAGGGCAATAATATTAAAACCCTCTGTACGCCAGAAGCGTGATAGAGCTCTTAGTGGGCTACTGTCGAGCATTATACAGAGCAAGGGGAAGCAGAGGGGTAGCTCTCAGCTAAGCTCTTCTCAAGCTTTAGTTAATCAAGCGATTCTAACTTAGGCCATCTGGAGACAGATTGGGAGAGGGAGGTGCCTGTAAGTGCTGAAGCGTTGTTTTAATTTTCTCCCCACCCCGAATTTTATCTTCAGTATAAACAAGCACATACCAGACTGCCTAATATAACAGTCCTTTTACTAAAACTTGTGACAGCTTTCATCTATATCAGCACTCCTCCAATTTAACTGTTACCACCTTTCGCATAGGGACTTATATTCTTCCCAGAATAACTATTTGACCTTCCCCGAACCATTATTCCTCCAGCACATACAGGAGATTTCGCCTGGCTTTAGCAGAGCACACAAGGATCGCCAATAAAATGGCGCTGTAAAAAAAGTTATTTCCCCATGTTTCCATTCAGTGCAATATATCTCAGTCCTAAAACTGTCAGGAGCTTAATTTAGCTTTCTAGCATGGGAAGTGCTACTTCTGAAGGAACTCTGAGGATTTTGACACTTTGGTTTTTTTAAAAAAGGTTGCTAGTCCTCTTGGTTGCTTGAAAGGAACGGCTCAAGAACCAGCAGGAGGATGCAAGGAAGTTATCACGGCCAATCGCATAGTGGCAAAATGGCACATGACAAGGAAGACATGGAATTCCCCACTCCGTGTTTTCCTCATAAGCCAAATGTGTGGAGAAAGCACTTATGGGGAGAATTGGCATGGGGAACAGGACTCTGCTTAACTCTCGCCCTTCTCTTCCAGTCATTTTTAATCCTCCCTTCCCAACAGCCAGGCTCCAAAACTTGGAATAATACCTGCTGAGAGGAAAGCAGGGCTGAGTATTTTCAGGGAGAAGCTGCAGGTATCCAACACCTGTCCCTCCTTCTGTTCTTCCCTGAGAAATGCCACCTCCGCTCCACATCCCTTTGGCAAACAGGCAGTCTCCTTTTGCTTGTACGGATTTATTAAATATACTCATCTTTATTTTATTAAATGTCTCATAAAATAAATTTAACCTGGCATTTTACAATTTAAAACGTCATCACATTATATTGCAATAACAGCAACTAATAAATGTGCCAATGCAGCAGAAAATGCAATATAAAGTTTAAAAAGGTGAAACCACACTGCTGTGTTTAAGAAGACTTTTAAAAGGCACCACCATGCACTGTTTGATGGGAAAGGTCTTCCAGCTCCCAGAAGTTTGGCACCAGACTATGAGGTAGGGGGAAAAAAACTCTGGGGAAGAAGGAAAAAAGGTGGGAGTTTTACAATTTCTTTCTGCCTGAATATACCTAGGGTTCTGCCCTAAAAGACCACACACATCTGGAAGAACCAAAAACCAGGACAGCTTCCCTTGGGAGAAATTAAAACATCTACTCTGTGCAGATCTGAAAAAAGAAGCAGTGATTTCAAGGAGATCCGATCCTTACACACAATAGTAAGCTCACTTTAGAGATTGCTCATGGTCACCTAGTTGATAATATATGGTGCTGATTTGGTAGAACGCTTCTGTGTTGTCGCTCTTTAACTTTGCAGCAGCTTTTAAGTCACCGATGGCTTTTCTCGGTTCTCCTTCCTTGATATAGCATTTGGCCCGAAGCTCTCGCAGTTCCACGTCCCAAGCACAAACCTTAGGAAACCAAAATGAAAGCCAAGATTTTAGTCCACATATATGTATGTTTTTAGAAGCAACATATATAGCTTGTAAAAGGATCAGCTTTGTACATTAGTTGAAATAGCTTGCAAACAGCGCGTGCGCATGCGCACCCCCCCACACACACAATAAATGCATTTACATCCCTAGAAATTGTGGAAAGGCAGAAAACTGGGGAAAAATTGGAGGCTTCCGACCTAATACCAGGGAGGCCTCTATTTGTAACCATTCTAAGGATTTCAGCTAATAGCATTCAGTTTTCCTTCCAGAACAAGGACTAGGGACTTACGTGCACATTTTAAAAAATGCACGCCACCAACCCATCTATGTGTGGAGGTCATAACCAGGAGTGGAATTTCAGCCATGGGGAGACCTAGCCAGGTGCTTGCTGTAACGCCAAACCAGTCTTCTTATTCAGGACGCGCGAAAGCAGAGATGGTTAAGAAGAGAAGCTGCTACTTTTCACCTGCAAAAGTCCGAGCAGCAATTCCCAATCTGGGACTTACATCCAGAATTTCATCCAAGAGGCCGATAGCAGTGTAGTGCTCCCCCTGAAGAAACGCAGACCGTGCTTGGGAATACAGGCGCTGCATTTCATCAGACTTCATCAGCTGGGAGCGAGCATCTGCTTCATCCTTGTCACTGGGGTTAGACTGGAGCTGTAAACAAGAAGGATGGGGACGGAGACATGAAGAACAAAAGCGGTCAATACGCCTCGAACGCAAGAGTTTCTATCAGGCATCACCTAGCAGGAGAAGTAGGGAAACATTATCTAACTGAACTTCTTTCTTTTCTTTTGCGGGGACAGGGGAGCTATGTAGAGATGGATTCTGTTACCATCCAGGCAGTACAAAACAGTGGCAAACAACATTCAGATGAGTTATGTGCAGCACCTGCCCGCCTGTTTAGCTAGTTTAGTAATGGGAAAGAGCTGTTCTCAAGCAGACAGAATGGGAAAACACAGGCACAAAGAAGCACAAATATTAAAGCAGGACTACTGTGAATTGCATATCTGTTGTGCTGTGGCTTCGAACTATCCAGTCCTATCGCCATACTCTATGGCCTTCCATGCTTTTCTCCCTAAAAAAACTTAAGTCAATTCCCTATCTGTCCATAACTCCTCAATATATGCATATTTACAGCCATACAAGTGCCAATTCTTTGTAGCAGGGGGTATTCTACCCCCAGTTTCAGAGATGCCCAATCCTGCACAGCTGTAATCTCTCTCCCTTTCTCTCTTGCCTACCACCTGCAGGATTCATTCTTCTTCTGACACACCTGATGGAAAATAATCGTAAAGGAACAGGGCCATTCTTCCGAATAAATGCATGCATATCTAAAGCCTCGGGGTCTTTCCTAATACTAACATCATCCAGTAGTGCCAAAAACTTTATTTGCACAGGTAAAAATTCATTCTGTTCTCACAGAGCATAAGGACATTGTTCGGGACATTTTGCCAGAGGAGGAAAAAATAGCGTGGGTTGGCTTTCATACTGACATAAAAGCTGGACCGTGAAGAAAGCTGACATGAGGAAAATGGATGGGTTCAAACCACAGGGCTGGAGGCGGGCTTTGTGAGTACCCTGGATCAACAGAAAGACAAACAACAGAGCTCTCCCTGGAAGCAAAAATGATTAAATCGAGACTTTCGTACTTCGGACACATCATGAGAAGGCAGGACTCCGTGGAGAAGACAGTCGTTCTAGGAAAAGTTGAAGGCAGAAGAAGGAAAGGAAGACCAAAAAGAGATGAAGAGGCTCCATAAAGAAGTCACAGTCATGAATCCAGAAGAGCTGGGCAAGGACTTTTTGGAGGCAGCCATTCACAAGGTCACCATAGGTCAGAGACAACTTGGTGGCAAAGAACAAGTGCAAATTACTGCAGAGGAGGAACAGGAAGCCTCCAGAGTCAACCCAATTGGGGAACCCAATGTCTGGGCATTACACTGGTGGGGAAGAGATGGGAAACTCTTCACAGCAAGTCCACAAATGTCCTCCAAGAGGACACATGATGCTTCAGTGCCGCTCCTCCCTCCCATAAAACTTGCTTGCCCACCACATTCCTTAAAGAAACGTTCTGTATCTACAAGCAATCTATGCCACAGCATCAATGCTGCAAAATATGCAATTCCTTGACCACACAAGAACTTGATGATGTGATATCACTGTCAGATCGTTGCCTTCCGCCCACACAGAAGTCAAGCGTACTCAAAACAAAAGAAAAGAATCTAGCTTAATGGTCAAATATGAGATGATTTCATTATAATGGCTATACAAGCTACGGAAAAACAACCTTTCAGAGTCAAAAGCAACCAAGTATGTACATAAGGAAAGAGGAAAAATATGCTTTATACTGATAGTGACACTGGTTTTGAATTTGAAAGAGACAATTATGCTGAGATATTAAAATAAAGAAGATAATATGTTCATAAAAGAAAATAAAGAACAATGAAACTTCAATAAATATTGCCTCAGGATAGGAACAGAAAATGTAAACCAAAACCCCCCACATCTCCTCTGAGCTGTCATCTATCACTGCAAGGGCCTGGCCTTCCAATGAAACATCATGAAGGACTCGTTCTGGGGTCGCAGATTCTAGAAAGGGAACCGTGTTCCATGTCTCCAACCTCCAACTTAGTGCACTGTTTAACAAGACAAGGAAGTGGGGGAAGGGACGGAAAGGGTGAAGGGGTCTGGTGTCATTGTACTTTTCATTTTAGATGCGAAAGCCCCTAGGGCTTCCACTGCAAAGCGCCACAGAGGAATCATTAAAGAGTGTTTGAGTCCTTCCCATGCCTTTTTTAGATGTTTGGGTTTCATTTCTTAAGTATTTGGATCGTAAGCCTATGCACAAGGCAGAACAGCCTGTTTACTTTCATCTCTGTGCAGTGGCTAATATATTTGTCTTTGGCACCTGTACAAATAATAAATGATGAAGTTCCTCCACGTTCAAAGCTTGCATTCTTGAAAGGAATTTTTACTCTTTCCATTTATGAAAATATATTTATCATGGTTACAGAATAACTTAAGTGCTAATGATCAAACAATCAAAAACCGGATATAAGGTGGGGACGAAGAGAAGCAAAGGAAGGGAAAAGAGGCTTACAAAAGTGGCATCAAAGCTGCAGTGTAGGACAGCAAGCAATCTAATTATAAAAGGGAAGTGTCCCGAACTCCTGAAGTTTACTCCAGCAAAGAAATAATATCCGCAGCATCCTAAAATGACAATGTGTGTGTCTGACTGGGTGAGAAGCATGACAGAGGGAAGCTGGGACAAGAATCCTGAAACTGCTCCATACAACATCTTTGGGTCCAGTTGTCAACATCTGTCTCGTTTGTGTGCTTACCATAGGATGTGGTGATGTCCATTCCTACTGACAATGCTAGCATTTACATCACTTCTGTGTTTGTAGATTTTTAGAGGCCTCTTATCTTTCCTGGAAATTTTACTCTTTTATGGAATACAAGGAACTCACCATCACAATAATCAAAAGTTTTGTCAGCTTAAGCTTTCTCCTCATAAAAATAATGATGCCACAGCGGACCTTTTGACTGTTAAAAAAATGCACCATGGTGACCTCCCCATAGCAGCATAAAGCAGCTAATTAAAACACAACAATATTTAGCGCACCTTAATTAGTGGTTTAACATCAGTTGTAAAAGAGATGAGATGCAAGTTGTCAAATTGCTTCTAAAAGTGATTTTGTGTGCACAATTCATTTCTGTTTTATGAATTTAGTTTGCTTTGTTAAGCCAAAAACATAGCTGCATGTGTTGCATTTAACTATCTGTCATACTGAGTTTCATCAGCTTGCAAGTTCCTAAGGATGTGGAGGTTGCTAATTTATGCTTTTTATAGCTATCTAATACTATAACCCACAGGGCAACTTTTTAATCTATTCAGCACTACTGGGCACCTTATAAGTTGATTAAATCCAATCTGAAAGTTTGCCTTAAAAAATCAGAAAAACAAAAACATCAACTTTCAAATCATAAGCTCTGCTGACATGTTACATCCTCTTTTTAAATATTGCTCCACTTTCATATGTACATAAAAAACACAACAAAATACTTTACCCAACTAACAGAGATAGTCACTCAGCCAGGAGTCTCACCAGCTGGATTCACACAACATGACAAGCAATCCTGCATGGATCTCATAGGTCATGGGTTTTGTTTTTTTTACCATGATCTACCTGACAGATTATCAAGTGGATTCTACGTTATCATGGCTTCCATCTTCCCTGTTCAGCCACCCCACTGTTGGCATGCATCAGCCACCACACCTGAAATTCCATCTCAAGGTACACTGCTTCTTGTTTCTCCCACCTGCTTCTTCCTCATGGGTCTGCACACAGAGACCAGATGGATGGAGCAGCTCCTGCAGTTAGCTGCATACCAAGACCATAATCCTGGCTTCAGACAACAAAAGCTGCAGTGGTACAGAGAAACCATAGAACAAACCATTGCTTCTTAGTGGGGTTTCTAATGGCCAAGCTTACCATGGTGAGATACTGTGACTGTTTTGACATGACAGACCAACAATGGTTAAAAAAACCAATCCTCATGCTGTCCAAACCCAGCCACTGTACTCAGCAGGGGCTATTCCTATCCAAGTGTGCACAGAGCCAAAGTCTGTCTCCCCCATGAAGTTAACTTTCTGAAGGATGAGGCTATCAATGGCCATTCATCGCCTCCAACATCAGAAGTACACCTCTGAGAAGCCACTCTTAGGGGACATGAGAAGGATGATGCTCTTGATGATTCTAGCCATTGTGTCAGATCTTGCAATGATCCAATTTGAGTGATCACCTGATGTTTCAGTCCTCAGAGAATGAACAACGCATCTGTAAATCAGTCCCCAGACTAACTCAACTAAGGAAAGTGATCTTCCATTCAGGAAAACTAGTTCAGACCAGTGTTTGTGTGACGTGTGAAGTGGGAGATCCGTGCACTTCCAGAAAGACAGAGCTGCAAGTGTTCGCTGGATGCCTCGGAACACCCCCAGCCTGGCACAAAGCAGCCATCAAGCCAGCCATCCCCAACCTGGTGCCCTGCAGACGTGCCTGACCCTCACCCATCATTCCTAGCCAGCACGGTCCTTCACCATGCTGACTGGGAATTATGGGAGTGGTGGTCTACCACACCTGGAGGGTTAGCATGAGAAAGACCCCCATTCGGTAAACCAGAGGCAAACTAGCGCTCAGGCTCAGTTCTGGCAATTCCTTCCTCCCATTTTCCTAACGCTGATGCGATACGGGAAGAACTATCAAGGGGCCACCTGGGCAGAGTCTAAGCACCTTCTTGCCCATGCTGTCTACTCACCAGAGAGCTGACTGGGTCTTAAAGAGGCCACCTCTTTCCAAGCCTGGTTGACCACTGAGAAATGCAAGGTCAGAAGGTGGCCTTCTGCAGAGCTCAGGGCCATTACGTTGGGAAGTGCAACCTGCTTGCTGACAAGAACACCAAGCTGACCCCAGAGACTGCAGTGAAGGTACAGGAATGTGATCCCTCGGGCACGTATTTGCTGCAGTGATGCTTCTTGCAGAAGCAGAGAATCGACTCCTTTGTATTTGGAGAAGCGGCTTGTGTGCGTGGTGACATATATGCACACTCACACATACATTTTGGGGTAGGAACTGGAATGTGCATATGTGTCTATTGCATTACTTAGAAATAATGACCCAGAATATTCCAGCACTGTACTTGTGAATTTAGAAATAGGCCAATACTGTGGCTATTTCTCCACAGTGGAAAAACACTGTCAGAAAGAAATAAAAATGAATGAGGTCTCTTTCAGCTGGGGAGTTGGCAAGACTGTTTTCTTCAGATGTGAAAAAGATGGATAAGAATTCCATTTTTAAGACTGTGTGTGCATTCAGGCAGAGGGCTTCTAGCACAAGCAAAGTCATTTGCACAGCTGCCCCATCTTCTCCTTCAGAACAGAGATTTTCCGGTAAGAACAAAGATGGTAAACACAGGTGGGACCCAAACGGAAAACAACCATGGCTGGACCCCATGTAACATTTGTTGAATAAGCACTGCGATGGCAAAATATATGGAACTTTCCTAGTGTGGGTAAATATCAAAGAGGCAGCCGTATAATAAGTCACCCAGGGTTATTCGCCTCCAAAACATTTCATTAGCCTGCATTTCCACACTGGCCATGGAAGGAAACTTTCTCTTCCACAGTAGCATGGAATCACCAGTCGCTAGCCTCTTGGAGCTAGCCAGTGAGGGAAAGAGTTCCACCAAGGCAAAGAAAGAACCGATCACGACAACTCCTTTCCGATAAACCGCTGTGTTTCCATGCTGGTCAAGAGACACTGTCCTTTCCTTGTGACTAGAATGGAGCTCAAGTGGACTCGTGGAAGATGGGTGGAATAGTCTGTCCCTCATCCAACAGGCTGTTCATTTAAGGCGTTCATGTGTTTAAGGTATTTCTATACCGCTGATTAAACGAGCTCTCAGAATGGTTTACAGAATATACTTATAAAAATTGATAACAATTTAGAAACAGATTTAAAACAACCTTGCTTGTCATAGAACAACGGCGTCACAATAGAATGTGACGGGCCATGATAAAACAGCAAAAGAATGCATAATAACAGAGGAACCATTCTACCTGTGCTAGTTTAAAACCAATAAATTCATAATCAATCATTAAAATGGTGAGAAAATAAGAATGCCTTAACCTGGCGCCAGAACATATATCACATTGGCACCAAGCTTATTTTCCTGGGGAGCCGATTCCACAGATGGGCCACCACAAATGAGAAGGCCCTTCCCCTTGTAGCTACACTCTTTACCTCTTTTAGGGGTGGCGCATGGAGAAGGGCCTTCGAAGACGATCTAAAGGTCTGGGCAGGTATATATGGGAGAAGATGCCCCTTTAGATAGCCAGGCCCTAAGTCGTTCAGGGCTTTATGCATGAGCACCTTGAAGTGGGATTGGTAACTAGTGCAGATGGAATAAGCACCGGGCTTACACGCATGCTTCTACTTGCTCCTGTCTGTTTACCTGCCTACACAAAATTCCTGGTCACCTTATGAGACTACCAAGCAACTCGTTCAATGGAAAGCTGCAAACAGATATACCACAGAGAAATTCAGCTGAGAAAACAGGGCTGTACAAGCATTCTCAAAACCTGATTTTAAAAAGGAAAACGAAAGGCCAATTTATAACAGGTATGTACTACGTCATTGCAATGCTTCATAGGGCCTCTTTCACACTGACTGCTCTGGCTGTAACTAAAACATTGAATTTTTGGGAAAGATAGCATTGCCGTAAAATATGCAGGATACAAGATTTTATGCATTTAAAAATACAGCAAATAAACACACCCCACATTAGGGAAAAAATGCAGAAAGGATGGTCCTCGAGGATAGTCTTTGCTGGCCTCTAGTGGAACAACACAGCACAGACGCAAGGCTTTTCGTTCACGGCTCTGGGAATGCTTCCCAAGAGGGAAGTGTGTCCTCTGAGTCTCGGGGACAGACTGGAGAAACCTGTTGTGGCCCGGCAGTTCCACCTGTCCGTAGCCAACTGCTACTGCTGGGTCTCTTACAACCTAACAGCGCACCATGTCGAAGGAAGCAATGGAGTTTTATGCCCCATTTCACACCCAGCAGTGGCTCTTCTGCATGGCACTGTACCAGAAATGTCCACGATGGCTGATCTTTTCAGTCACACGTATGCCAACCAAAAGCACTGTTTCGACGGTGCAAAAGATTCCCCACTCATCACTACGGTATCTGCATTTCTGCTTGACTTCTGCTCTGGACACCAGCTGACAAGGAGTGGTAATACGTCAAAAAATCAATCACCAAGGCTACTTAGAAAAGCTCTAAAAGCTCACAAAAGCTCACAAAAATATTCAAAAGAACCTTCCCAATCCACATGAAAGAAAAGCAAGTATTATTATTCAGGTACCAAAGTGAAATGCTTAGCTACACATCTGGTTCAGGGAGCTAAATTTTTGTTTTGAAGCAACAGACTAATTTTACTTGAAAGACCCCACACCATGGTCCTCACACAACATCCTGCATTAGCAAATAAAGTTTCTCAATTATTCTGTTCGTACCTTCACTCTATAGCATCATATTGTTTTAAAAAGGGTAAGAAGATGACGCAAACAAGCACCATGCTTCTTACAGGCAACTAAAATGCCAAGAGCTACTAATGCATATTTGCAACCAGGAATGAAATCCTTGTACAGCCCCTCAAAAAAACCAAGCATCCAATTCCCTCAATGAGCTGATAACAGAATGCAAGATACCCAAAGATCAGCAAAACTCAGATGGAATGAACTGAACAAAATGTATACATCTTTCAGTTCAAAATGACTAGTAGAATTCCAGAAATGATTCTGAAATCAAGACAGCATTCATAGTCTAGGTTTGCAAATAAAATAATGACCAGAATCAATATAATAGGAGAAAGATTGTATTACATTTTTCTCATTGTATTACACATAGGATCCCAATCTATAGAAAGTCAGTTGTGGTGAAGTTGTGACTAACTTGTCCCAGTGGTTTTTACCCTTCCCTGCATCGGGATCTGTGCCTTTGAAAACTGTCTAATTTCAATGTTTATACTGTAAGATATCCGATTTTTCCTCTGAATATCCTGAATTTACAATCAGCATTAGCAACTCCCTGACATTTTTAATACAACCTGAATCGTTTCAGCTGCATTCCCTTCATATGCATTTAGGTACATATTGAATGGACACACAAAAACTTTGCATGAGATGAAAAACTTGGATAGAGAAATTCATCAAAGTGGATGGGATGGGATGCCAACAGCAACCAGGGAGAAGGTTGGAAGCCACTCCGTTCACACAATAAGCTCGTTGACACTCATTGTTTTGTCTAAACATGCATACGACTGCACTTTAGGCAAACCCGTAAAATCTATGCCGTGAAATGTCAGCGGATAGCACTGTCTGCTCACTGTGACACGTCAGCAGTTCCATTCCCATGGGTGAGCCTTTCTGATCCAGGGCTGCAACCTGCGGTGTTTAATGCCCCCAGTTTTCCATGGGCCCCAGCGTGGCGTGGCATGCGCTCAGAAAAGGTCACTCCATCCGTGTGGAATGCGAGAGCTGCCCAACAGACGCAACACACCCTGGAGATCTGCATCACAACACTCCACGTCCTTCTCAGGACCTGACTTCCACAACGCCAGAGCGTCAAGGTTCCTTACTCACCACTTTTTTGAAATCCTCTTCCGCTTCATCAAACTTTCCCTGCTTCAGCAGCAAGTTCCCCCTTTGCAGCCTTGCCTATAATAAAAGAAAGTCCTCTGTCATATACAAATAGCCAGCGTGGTGAAGCAGATAGAGTGCCACACAAAGGTCCCAATCCCCACTGAATAACCCTGGGGCAGTCAATATCCCTCAACCCGTACTACCTTGCAGGGGTGTTGTGAAGATAAACTGGGGATGGAAAGCAAGCAAGATGTGCCAACTCGAGTGCCTAGGAATTGTAATAAATGGCTTTTTTTTCCATGCAAAATTTATTTATTTTTCTATTTATATCCTGCCTTTTTCCTACAAAGGGCTCAAGGCAGCTTACATCATCTCTCCTCCTCCATCTTATCCCCACAACAACAACCCTGTGAGGTAGGTTGGGCTGAGAGTCTGTGACAGGCCCAAAGTCACCCAGTTGGCTGCATGGCCAAGCGGGCACTAGAACCCAGGTCGTCCAAGTCCCAGTCCCATGCTCTTCACCACTACACCACAGTGGCAAATAAAACTACATCCCCTATATCTTCCTCTTGCATTTCACACGAGAAAGCATTTCAGTTCCTGCTTTACCACCACCTCTGTTTCATAACCACCACAGCATCCCACTCTTTCCTGTCCTATCTTTTCAGCAATTAAAGATTTTCTTATGGAAAATACCACCATTTAGCACCTGGCACTGCAAACATGTTTTAGGTAAAGAACTGCCAAATCTTAAAAATTTTAAATAACATTATTATTACACAGTGTCATCCATGTTCATTTTAGCAGAGTATCATAAGGAAAACTTTGTATATTCCAGCCATTATAACCAAATTTTGTTAATTGGGGGAATCTACATAGGAATCCAACTTAGGAATCCAGATGACCTGAAATGCCACATTCACACGGACCATCATACCTAAACAGATTCCACATTGTTTTGGAGCCTATTATTACACCAGCTGTTGTGGTATGGGAAATGCACAGTGGAATTGTGTCTCCATTTAAGATGTCAGCATTCTCCACCCAGAGTCTTAGTCCCCCATCAGGTGCTGAATTAACACTTGGAAAAAGAATGCCCCCCTGCTAGTGCAAATTTGCTAGCCTGCTAGTCTATATTTAACCTCTCCAAGTTATGGGATAAGTTTTCTGCCAGATTATACCACTTACTGAAAAAAGAGGAAAGACTCCCATTTAAACAGCAACATCACACAAAGACAAAAGGCCACTTACATCCCCCTGAAGGAATCTTTGGAAAGGATTGCTTACCGACGTGAAATCCTGCTTTAATTCAACCACCTTGCTTAAGTCACGAATGGCAGCTTTAGATTTGCCCATGGCCAAATAGACGGTGGCTCTTCTGTAATAGGCAAGGTAGTTATCAGAGTCCCCTTCTGTAAGTGAAGAAGTAGCAATCAGAACATCGCCTCAAGCCAGCCAGAACTACAGACACAACTAAGCCAGCACTAAGGAGGAATAAAAGCACCATTACCAGGAATTTTAAACAGTTCAACACCATCGGTTAATTAGCAGAAGGCACCTTTCCACAGGACAGCTGTACTTTGCATTGCATGCATGTGTACGTATGAACCCAAATGAGCGTTTAATGTATCGTATGCATGTGGCATCATTCACTTATGTTTGAGGGCTCCAAAGGAGGGGGAATCTAAGTGCATTCCAGCTGTGGAGCAAAGCTGAGCCCCCCACCTGCTAAAGCTTTTTATCTCGAACTGCAGGCTTGCATTCGGAAGACCGTGCTACATCTTAGGTCCGGCTCCTGCGCTTCTCGTTCCCCGAAGGCCCAACCATCATCCTGTCCCTGGAGATCAGTGGTGGGATGCTCGTCTAAGCATCCCTATTAATTCTGCTGCTGAGGCAGCAAGCCTTGAAAACGCAGCACAGATGGGAACGTGCCCACCCTCCGTCTTCCCATGCAAGAAGATTTTATGGGACTGTGAACGCAAGAATAAAGTGTTCATCCAAGATCAAGAATGCTACATTTGAGAGGGGATTTCGCGACAGCTCCAATCAAGCACTACTGCTTAGTACTCAAATTAGTGGGGGGAGTTAATGAAAGCCACCAGTACCATCCCTGATCTTCCAGAACTTTGACCAAATCATGCCCACTCATACTCTTCTACTGAGTCATTACTAATTAAGGGATTTTAGTCTTTTCTGGCCCACCTCTAATTCAGGCACTGAATCTATCTGAATGTGTATTTTGTTGCAGTTATTACTTATCCCATCTGCCACAATATTTTGACTCTTCTGCCATGTGCCTTTTGCAGCCTTTGGAGGGACACATGGAACCAAAGGCCTCAGAAAATAGATAAGATGTTTCAGCATTATAAACTATGGTATAACCTTGGAACCAATGACCCAAGAGAATGGACGGAACACTTACACATTCCCCAAAGAAACAACAAACAAACAAAGAATTTGCCACCTCCTCAGCCCCCACCCGCAAGTATTCATTCAAGCACCACCCTTGCAGGAAAAGAAATTAAAGCTGGATATGCTGCAAAAGGGCTGATTCTGAAATGAAAAGACCAAAGACTCATCAGTTACTCGCCACCAAAGATCTAGGCTTTGTGATTAAAGACACACAGTGACTGCCTACTTATCGATCGGCCCTGGCATCTCTTCGCATCTAAAAAGCATCTGAAACTTTTTATCACATACATAAAAGCAGTTCAAGGTTTAGAACCAAAAGACTTTTCTTGGTGCACAAAACAGATGTGCTTGTGCCTCAACTCGGGAAAGGGCGAAGACGAGGCCCGAGTGTAACAGATGTCGCTAGGAGCAACTCTGAGAATCATCACAGCATGCAGCAAAGCTTTGTAGAGACTTATCAGCGGTGCTCCAGGAAGTTCCTTATTAAAGGGGCAAAGTGGGGCGGAGGGGGGAAAGTCAAATGATTGGAAGGACAGGTGGAAACTCTCAAAGCAGAGAAAGCCAAAACATGGATTACGCCCTTTGTCACCTTCATGGCTAACTGTAGGTTCTGAGTGGGTTATCACAACCCAGAGAGCAGTCCCAAGCAAACCTGGAGATCATCACTAGTCAGCCAAGGCTGCTCTGGCTTCTGATGGGACCTTTACCTGAAGATAAGCTCCACTGGGAGAGAGTTGTACACCATCTCCTGTGAAGCCCTGCAAAAGCACTCATTTCCCCCTTAGGTATGAAAATCATTTAGTCACACGAAGGGTGGGGACCATCTTGACTGCATATAAAAGCAACCAGAAATGACGAAGTTTTGGCCAGATCAGGTGTCTACTTTCCCACCTTGTAGTAAGCCATAGTGGACACGAAATGGGTAGATCCACATTCACTCGCTAAGTCTGAAGTATGTATCAAGAGCAAACATTACCTAGTGTGCACGTACTTTTAATTTACAAAAGCTGAAAACCTACCACCACTGAGACAGAGAGCCAGCTCAGATGTAACAATCCTACTCCACATATACCTCACATGCACAGTTACAGTGACGCTAACTGGCTTTCTTAAAACTCAGATTTATTAATGTCCAGACTAGGAAACTAGGACCAGATCTGGGTTTGCAGAAACCAGGAATGCACACGAAAGAAGGCACATGGAGGCATAGAGCTCATTCCCAGGCGGATAAAATATGGCTTATCAAACCAGAAGGGTTATGCCAAAATTGAGATGGTGTGCACAAGTTATGAGGCCTAAACCTTGGTACAAACTTTTGAAACATACCTATGGCGGCATGGAAGTGAGACAAAGCATCGGCAAGCTGCCCAGCAGCCAACAGCTTCTTCCCCATTTCAAGTTGTTTTTCTACTTCTGCATTTATCCCACATTCTGCTCCTAAAGGAAGAAACACATGAACTTAAGAAGCTGAATAATTCATTACAGATCTGCTTTTTTTAGCTTATAACATAAAGTAACAAAAACTATATTAGAACTTGCATATTAAAAACAGATCTTACAGGCCTGTAATAGAATTTCCACCCACCCAGAAATAGGGTTTCCACCCACTAATCAGTCCAGGAAGCATGGCCAAAGGTAGGAACAGTGGGAGTCGTAGTCCAAAATATTTGGGAGTTGGCAGAGGCTGCTTGAAAGAATGGCAGCAATTAGCTCAGCACATAGCTCAGCTAGTTCTCAAGGCTGGCGATTTTGGGACGCTGTATATCTAAGAGGCAGAAGGGTTTGGCCTAACTCCTTACATCTCTAGTCAAATGAATCTCAGGCCACCTGGATGGAATGAACTCCACAATTCCCGACATCTTCTCCTCGTCATTCTGCATTCGAACGCTCTGGTGCCTGCCACCTGCTTTATGACAATTCAATCTGGACTTCACTGTGCAGCTTCTGCAGCTAACATTTATGATCTTTTGTTTAGGCTGCTATCACATGCACATTATGCTGAGAATAAATCCCACCGAGCTCAGTGAAGCTTCCTTTTGAAGAGTGTGTAAGATTGTATGGCTACCCTTTCATCAGTTCTGCAAAATCGCTGACAGAGATCAATACACACCCACAGAAGGAAAAATAAATATAGTGATTTTGCAGAGTTTGGCACAGTGCTAGTGAGAAGTATTTTTCATAGCTATCTAAATAATAGATATTGAAAAAGTAAAGGATTTAAATAAGATAAAAAAAATCAAAATAGGCACAGTGTGGAGCTGATGAAAATTGAAACAGGCTGAGAAGGAGCAAAATTGTTTGCTTAGGTTTGTTAAAATGCGTGTGAAAGGACACTCTCACAGATCTAATACCAGGACTGTCACCCTGCACATTTCTGCTGCACCAGGTCAAAAAGCGCAGTTTGCCGCCACAAAGTTTTTCTGATACTGGACTAACACACAAACTCAATGCAGATTCAAATGCACATTGAGACTGAAATCAGAGGAACTCAGGGTAAGACGAAACTGCAACCACTAGTTAGTACCAGGGACCAGCAGGTCTAAATATAAAATACTGAATCTGGCCTGCTTATACAGGTTGCCTGTACATTTTTAAGCCCAATTTAATAAGGTACTGGTTTAACATAACAAGCTTTACACAGCTGCTTGGGACCACAATACCTGATGGAGCATTTCCCAGTCTGAACCTGCCAGTCTATCATGCTGGATGCTACCATCTAGGCCCTTTCCAAAGTCCTCTTCTGCAGGAAGCGAGGAGGATGGCAACAAGAGACAGAGCCTCCTCAGTGGTAGCCCACAAAAAGCCTCTGCAGTGAGGCTTACCTGGTGCAAACAAGTCATGTTTCTGATGCCAAGTTAAGACTTCCCTAGGCACATGACAGCATGCCAGGTTCTTAAAGGGTCCCAGGATTTCCACTGTTCAACATTCTTACTTTTTTGTATGTTGCTTTTATGTCACTGGATTGCATTTAAACTGCCCAGACAGCTTCTACACTGGACAGTATGGAAATGAGAGGCAACTCTATGCCGCAGGGCTTCCCCATCTCTCTACTCCCACTCCATCCTCCTGCAAGGATGTAAGCTCTGCAAGCCATTATCTGGAATAGCCTAAGATACAGACCAATAGAACTGGTGGAAACCAGAACATCTTGCATGACTGAAAGTGTTTTCCATTCATACCAAAGATCCTCTGGATCTCAGCCCATGATTATTATTGCTCCATCAACCTGGAGCCTTTAAGGGTGAATGATGTACTCTAGATCTCATGCCACAGAGAAAGCTTTCAGATGAATTCCAACACAGCACTAACCGAAGAGTTCAGTTCACGTATCAGCAAGGTCTGCAGGTCATCAAAGGGAGTGACAACGTGAGATCTTCTGAGCTGGCTCTCCTCCCAGTCCCACCAACATCTCATATGCGTTTTCTGGCAACACTAGCAGCAGTCTTCCCAGTAACTGTGGACGGGTTCTGGGACAACCTTCCAAGGGAACCCTACCTACCCTTTGAGGCCATCCTTCCACCAGCAGAAAAACAGGTTTCTGGCCTACTAGGTCATTCATTTTATTTTCCACTATTATGCAATTTTAATTCCCATGGAAATATAATTTCAACTGGCTGCTGCAGTTTGACTATGCTACTTTTAAATTCATTACATCAAGACTTTTTGTTGCCAGAGATCAAAGGGTATCCTCCACCCACACACATGGCCAACCTATAAAAGCAGACTGGAGTGACGGCTGGATGCTATTCAGTGCTGCTGACTGGAAAGCTTCCTCCACACTTACGTGAGGGTGTGTCCTTATGTGACTCCCAGCAAAGTGGAATAGCCAGAGCAGCTCCCACTGTCCCCCCCGTACCACGCCACATCTGCCACATCTGCAGACACCTCACTCTGCCTAATGGCGTGGACAGCTCTGCATTTTGCTGTTGGCTGCCCTGGCCATTTCGCATAGAAAGCTGGAAAATTTAAAAACCACAAATAAATACGTTTTGGCTCAAACATGCATTCTAGCATTCGAGTGGTAGGTATGCATGTGTGAATGAGAGAAAGACTGCAGAATAAGTAACTAGAGTCATTCCATGTCTTTAAGAATATGATTATTATTGTGAAGAATCTGTATATTGTATCAAGTCATGGTGGATTTTTTCCCTGCTTAGAAAAAAAGCATTTAATTTCTAAAGAAGAAAGCAATGACAGAACAAGCATTTAAGTTCAGTCCCTCAGATCATGAAACATGAAATCATCACAGCATGCATAGAATTGACATGTTCAGTTGCCCTCAAATGCATGGTATGCCGTCAATGGAGCAACTTCTGCTAAAAAATATACCTGCACTTTCTAGCAAATTTTTTTATTTATTACAATATCCAACCATTTTTCCCCTGACACAGAAGCCAAGGCAGTTTACATATACCTGTTTTATCCTCATAACAACCCTGTGAGGTGGGTTAGGCTGAGAGACAGTGGCTGGCTCAAAGTCACCCAGTTGGTTCCATGGCCAACTGGGAACTAGAACCCAGATTTTGCAAGCCCCGGTCTAACCCTCTAGGCAACACTGGCTCTCACTTTTAACAAGGTATTACATTTAAAACATACAAAAAGTTGCATTTTAAAAGAAAAGAAGCAACTAGGGGAGAATTTCCTTCTTTCTTTTTGGTCTTGCACTGATTTCCAAATCAAAGTTGCCAATTTCCTGTACAAATAATTTTTTCCCTCTAAATGTTCAACAGACTCACTGAACTCTGACAGCCAATATGATGATTTTCTTCCCCATTTCACGCATCATCACGGACAATAAGAACTCCAGAGGCCAAATTACATTATATCTGAGCAATCTCTTCTTACCTCATGCATGCCCTCAAAAAATATGAAGTGTGGTTATCTGGGTGTTATTAAGAGAAAAAACTGAAAAGCAAAGTCACGCAAATGTCTATGAGACTATACAAGACTCTGTTACTTGAGCTGAATGAGCTACAAAGAATTCAACTTTATCTTACAAAACCAGAGACAGTGTACATATAACTAGAAATTATATGAGTACATATATCTGTGGGTCTCAAAAAGAAAGTATGAACATTTAAAACTACATTATTTATACACTTTTAAAAGTAGAGTGAATAGATACACACAAAATAAACACATAACAAAGCACAGTTAAGACAGCCTCACTTTAGTTATAGACTTACATGAGCTCTTGTGCATGTTTCAAACAAGCTCCCTCTACCTAAAAAGATAGCACAAGAGAGAGGAAAACTTCTCAGCCTAGAAGCTTCACGGATGTTGTAGTGTTGTGATGCTGTGGAGCGTCTTCGGTGAAACATGAAACTCCTCCCACCTGGTGTGAGTGAGGTGTTGTCTTTCATCCAGCTACAGCACACTGTATTCTGAGTGTACAGATGAGCTGTTCCATCTTGGTCCTCAACAGACCTCTTTGGAAATTTAATTCTGATTGTATTTTAGTTTAGTTCTGATTATGTATGCTTGCTTTGCAAAAAAGAAGAGTGCCAATATTAGGAACTATTATTTATCCATATAAAATATTCTTAGGCTATGTTTATGGGTAAAGAAGGTGCTTCCCAAGAAAAACTGCAGTCCAAACACGTTATTAATAAGCACCATTAAAAAGGCAACATTATTCTAATTTCAGTAGGGACCTCCATGGGCTCATTAATATTCTACAAGTATTATTAGCCTATAGTATCAGGCTATTGTATACTTTGAGGGCCATGCATAAAGGCCCCTCAAATTTACACAGCCTACACATAGCCATGGCTTGTCACCAAAGCAAGCATACAAGGAAGGCAGCAGGGATGTGACAGTTTCCAAACAATATGGTCTCCACTGAAAATGTGGAACTGCTTGCTAACTTGCCTTTGTTATTGCCCAGTTCATAGCAGAATCTGACATCAATGAAATATGTCTTGACTATCTTGGATACACATTTCCATGGGCAGAGTTGACTTAACAGCAGAATACGATGCTAGTTTATGACAATCACCACTAGGTTTCTGTAGTGCTTTTCCTAAATGCTCAAAGTGCCTCCTACACATTATTTGGCGCACCCTTCTGTACCGCAGCCCCATAGCCTGCTTCAGGTCATCCAGAGCAGGATTACAAGAGCTTTGAGCAAAACAGGGAAAAGCCAGATTTTAACTGAACCCTTCCCAGATCACAGGCATACTTCCTACAAGATTATTACCCATTTCATTTATTATAACATTTATAACCCACCTTTCCTTCCTACTTTCAAGGAACACACGCCAGTCTACATGATTCTCTTCCTCTATTTTTCTAACAACAACCTTGTGCGGTAGGATAGCCTGAGCTTCAGTGACAGGCCCAGTGGCCAGTAGGAGCCTCAGTGACAGGCCCAGTGGCCAGTAGGAGCCCAAGGGAGTCGGAAAATCCCAGCGCAGCAGTTTAACTGCTACTCCACACGGGCTTTCTCCACTGAACACCGTGGTCCTTCCTTCCCAGTAATCAAGTATATTATGTATTGTACGGTCAGCAGTTCCATACCCCTATGGAGTGAATGCACCCATCGTGTCTCTGACCATGATCACTTATCCCAGGGTTAATACCGGGACCTTTTGAAACTCCTTCCAGGACAGCCTGTACCCCGCATACCGCCACCCTATGGCAATTCTCTCCCTGAGCTCTTCCTGGACCGTCACCCAGCACCGCCCAGCAGTAGCCCACTTCCGAAGTATGTGCCAACGACGCCCTTCGAGACCCCCGTAACTCCAATCCCCACTGCAGGGGCAGCCCTCCTTCCATGCCACCTCTGCCCCGGCTTTCCCAAAGGGAACCCTCCCGCCCCGGGTCTAGCCCTACTTTCAGTTCGCTATGAAAACACCCCCACAACTGCCAGCCACACCCCGGCCCCGAAGAGGGCAGCTTCCCCCTCTCTCTGCGCTCTCCCCCAGGCCGGCACTGCACCCACCCCAGCCTCCGCCTGGCCGGAGGTCACCCACTCTTTCCCCGATCGCTGACGCCAGGGCTCGCTCCCACTCAGACCCGCCTGCCCCAGAGGCAGCGCTCCCTCCTCACCCTCGTAGTGCAGGTCCCACAGCACCAAGAGCAGGGGCAGCGTGGACCCCAACTTGCTCACGCAAGCCCGGAGAGAGACCATGCCTGAGCCGCTCCGTCCCCACGTGCGCCGCCTGACCCACCAAGGAGTTTAGTTCGGAACTCGGGCACTCTGAACATTCTGAGAGGTTCCCCGGGGTGGGTCGTGGGACGCGCTGATTGGCTGCGCCGCCTCCTGCCCCGTCCCTGCTAGGGGAACGTGGAAAGCAGGAGAGGCCACTGCCACGCGTCCCCGCCCCTTTCAGTTCGAGACTGCGCGTTGCGAAGGGCTGACGCCGAGCGCACGTCATGGCGCCCGCACTTGGTGCTGCCGCTCTTGCCCGCTCAGCGGTCCGCATAAACTCGAGGGACGGATTTCACTTCGGGGCGAGGGCGACGGGTTGCTCGCGCGCGTTTCTCCGAAGCGCCACAGAGCAGGCGAGGCGAGGCGTTTAAGCGGGAGAGGCCACTAGGAGCGCCTCTTCAAAGTAAAAACCTTAATATCCCGCCTTTTTCCCCTTCCAAGGAACTCGAGAGTGCTTACATAACCCCCAGAAATCTTATCCTCACAACAACTCTGTGAGGTAGGCTGGACTGAGAATTTGTGACTGGCCCGAAGTCACCCACCTGGGTCCACGGCTGAGCGACGATGAGACCCCAGTCTCCCGAGTCCCGGTTTTGCACTATCCAACACTGGCATATGCACCCTCTGTATATAAACTTTTAAAAATACAACTTTATTAAGAATGCAACACGGAAGGCTGTTATTTAACCTAGTAACAACAATAAAAATGGGCTTAAAACGAGGATAGCAATCCAGTAAGTAAAACAAGTCTGAAATAAATGAGGCAATGTTAATTTACACCTTACTAATTTCAAGAATGCTAACCAGTGAGTTCTAGATCAAACCGATCCAGAATTTTCCCTAGAAGCAAAACTGAGGCAGTCATATGCACAGCATGCAAAGGCAAGACTCTCCAAGGAGAAAACATGCTCGGGAACGTCAAATGCAGAAGGAAAGGAAGTCCAAACATGAGATGCATGAACTCCACAAAGGAAGCCACAGCTCTGAATTTACAAAAGGTGAGCAGCGGTGACACGGACAGGAATTTTTGGAGAGTGCTGCTTCATATGGTCACAATAAGTCATATATGACTTGATGGCACATGTCATGAAAAATTGCAAGAAGGCTTAAACACAGTTTTGGCTTCAGTCCTATACAACCATACCTGGGAGTAAGCCGCGTAAGGTCATTTGTTTGTTTATTAGATTTTTAGCTATTAGCTTCTGAGCAGAGTTCAGAATGGACTCAATTTAATATTATGGACCAGGGCCAAAATATAGGAAGAATGGTCCTAAATTATTGATATGAAGTTTGCCTGTAAACCCTCCAGCTCTTTTTCTAAAGAAAAAAGCAGACCAGAAATCAGGTACTATAATTTAAAATGTGTTTTTGTAGTTGGCAAGATTTATTTTAAGACAAGAGCCATAGATCTCAAAAATGTGTGCTTTCAAGTATAGCATTAACATTAGTCTCCCAAAGAAAAAGCATCATCTGAGTTGCTCTATTTTTTTCTGTATTACAACTCAAACTTTAATTATTAAAAAAATCATGCTGTTACTGAAAGTTTGACTATGTAACCCTAAATTAGCCTGACAATATCACAAGATGACTTTGCCCACTAGCTTAGAAAGCTCAAATAAAATTCTAATTTATCAATATATGAGATGTACATTCAAAGCGAGAATAATTGAAAGATACTATGTGCTGCATGATTAAATGCTGAGTCAAAGATTTTGTCTGTTTCCCCATTATTTGTGATAATAGGGCCCTCTATTCTTTTGTTTGTCTTAATAACAGGACTCTTAAATTAAAACAACAGAGGGTTTTTATTTTCATTTTGCTATGTGATCTGCAAAGAGCCACTCCAAACTTACCCAGATAACAACTGAAAACAGTTTTGACTTTTAGAAGGATACAACTTTAGCCATTTGTTTAGGTTAACCTGAGGATTACTCCTTTTTAAATTCTCTTTAGAGTACTATTCACTTAGCACTGCATTCCAATGCATGTTTATTCAGGACTAAATCCTACTGAGTTCACTAGGTTTTATGCCCAGCTACATAGGATTGCAGAATAAATATTCTGTCCTCATTACCTCCAAGCCCAGGAAGACTTCAGAAAGAATTGCTTCTGATGCTGAGAAATCCATATGAAAATAATAAATCAGCAACAGGGAAAATGTGGTCCTTCCGATGCTGTTGGACTACAACTCCCATTATCCTTTACCAGGTGTCATGCTGACTAGGGTGGATGTGAACTGAACTCTGAAAGGCCACACATTCCCTACTTCTGAAATAAACCTTTTCCCCCCCTGTTGAGGCCATTTTAACTGAGTTGAAACTGAAAACCCCAGCAAGCAAGAAAGAGGACCAAAGTCCAGGATACAAACCATCGTACAGAAGAAAGAGAGCCCTGTCAGGCTATTCAGCAGCCTGTACATTTGAAAATCAATCATTCAATCGCTCAGTTAGCATTCATTTGTGCATGAGTGTCTGTCCGAAATTCACTGGCTACTATCACCTGCTGATTCACCATCTTCATCTCAAAATAATCTAGCTCTCAACTGGCTCATGTGTAGGGTCCGATCACTTTGCAGATGCCTGTGTGTCACTTGGAGCCTTCCATGGGGTAGTTTTCAACCTTGGTCAAACACAGGAGATATCATCTTCAATATCACAAGGGTGTCATGGCTAAAGATCTAGTTCAACAACCCGAAATGTCCAGACCAAGAACAATAAAAGATAATCCAGGGTAGAGTGTTGGTCCTCAGCTTCTCAAAGCCACATTACCACAGTAATGAATGGGAGGTTTGGAAAGGAGCAGCACAGTATCTTTGGTCCAGCGTACTTCAGGTAAAATACCTGCTAAAGGTACCGTCATACTTATAACACTGCTAATATCCACTAGATACCACTAAAAAGATTTGAATAAATGGTTCTGCATCACTGATCTTCCAGTTTACAGAACACATTGCATATGTGGTGTTACAATACTGTTGCTAGTATTCTCAGCTCTTCCTTCTTTGGACTCGTTAGCCAACTTTAGTTCTTAAAGAGGACCTGGTGTAATTGGGCCTGGAATTTGGGGAACCAGAATTCTAGTTCCCAGTCATCATAAAGCTCACTGGGTGACTTTGGGCCAGTTACAGACTCTTGGCCTAACCTACCTCAAAGGGTTGTTGTTGTGGAGAGGAGGAGGATCTGTAAATGGCCTTGGGTTCTGCACAAGAGAAAAAAAGGGCAGGACATAAATAAAGGCATCATCATCATCATCATCATCATCATCATGTAACAGTGTTTCATGATAACTCTAAATTAATAGATATGTCAGTCTGAAAAATCTATAATGTAAAATGTGTGCAACTAGTGCAAACTAAGCCTCCATGCACACACCACAGTGGTGTCTGAGCGCTTACCCAAACAACATCCTGTTTAAAGAAACCACATACACACACTGGCATTAATGTTATCATGAAAGTAGTACAAGGGCAATCCCATGTTTTTTTGCAAGTCAAACTTTTGAACAGTAAATAATCCAGGTGGCAGCTGTGCCCTTTAATATAACAGGCTTTGAAATCATTTATAATATTAAGAGAGGATTGCTTAAAAAGACTCCATTCTTACATGACAATAAATCAGTCCCTCTCTTTCATGGCTACTGAAACGTGTTGGCTGCTAACCACCCAATGTCTTTTTTGACTCCAGTCAGGAATGCTGCTAAGCACTTGAAAGATCTGGGAGCCAGACTCAAAGAACATAAGTCTACACAAATTTTGCCTAGGATTATGTATATACTAATTTAGAAATAATGATTAGGATCTATTTGTACCTCGCAGAAAGCAAACCAGCCAGTGAATTGTTCATCCAAATCACCTCTGATGAAATACATTTTATTTTTATTTATTTATGTAAACCGTTACATACAGCCCAATTTCCATTGGCTCTGAATGGTTTACATTGAAACTAACAATGATTAAAAATTTGGCTAAAAACAAACATACTTAATAAAACACTGAAAGCCAGTGTGGTGTAGTGGTTAAGAGCATGGGACTGGGACTCAGACGATCTGGGTTCTAGTCCCCACTCAGCCATGGAGCCAACTGGGTGACTTTGAGCCAATCACAGTCTCTCAGCCCAACCTACCTCACAGGGTTGTTGTTGGGATAAGATGGAGGAGGAGATGTAAGCTGCCTTGAGCCCTTTGTAGGAAAAAGGCAGGATATAAATCGGAAAATAAATAAAATAAAATAAAAAACTGATCTGAGAAATAAGCAGGGAAGGAGTCTCTGAAGAGATACATATTTAACTCTTTGAAGGTAAGCACTCAGTCCTCTGACATTAAATTTACAAAGGCAAACTTCAGATTATCTTCTTTGCTGGCAAGAAGGAATATATGGGCAAAGGTGCTCCTGAAATGTTCAGTTAATTTGTATCCCACCCAAATAATCACTTTTACCTCTTTAATGCAAACTAATTTGCCCTCTCTCCTAGTCCTTTCCCACTCATTTTTTAGGATGTCAGTGTGGGTTGGCCTTTCCCTCTCCAACTGTCATCGACCTTGGAAATTGTCACCTGCATGACAATGAAACGAAGAAAGCCATTTTTAACGGGCTTAGGGATCTGGGAAACAGAGTTCTGGGGCCGGGGATAAAAATTGCTACACACAGTATTTCCACTATAGTGGCGGAAAGAAGGTACCCTGCAGCCTTTAGGGGTAGAATCCATCTAGAGCTGATTCGTGTTGAACTGAATGGCTTCCATCCTAGTAGACACCTGAATCCCAGGTCAGTGTTACAACGATCCCACGATTCCTCTATTTTTGCCCACCAGAATCCGAAAGGCCGTTCTCATTCTCGCACACCAGCGAAGATGCCCCCCCCCCGCCTAATAATTTTGGCCTCGCCAATAATCCAGCGAGCGTGCTCTCTCGGTCCCAGGGTTAGCGCAGCGTCGCTCCCTCGACCACAAATCCCCGCACTAGGTGCGATTCCCGCTCGCCGTCTGGCAAGTTTTGTCCCTCGTCTCAACTCGCCCTTCCAGCTCGAGCATAATAGGCTTAGCTGAGACGAACAGAGGAGCGGCGGAGCGCGTAAAATGCCTCAAGAAAGGGAGCTATTTTGGCTGCTTTCCGTGGAGGAGAGAAACCCGATCCCTTCGGGGATGTGCGAAGAAACCACCCACTCCTTCCTCGAGGAGGAGCGACGAGCGAGCGTGGGGAAGAGAAGGGGGCTGCCCGGAGGGGCTGCGGACCGTGCTTCTGCGGAGCTTCTCTCCGATCCGGCCAGAGGTAAGCGAACCGGCAAGAGGGGAATGGCGACCTCTGCTTAAGCCCTGGCCTGCGCCTGGGCGCTAAACTGCTCTGGAAAGGACTGAGCCCGCCTTGGTTCGTAGAGGCGCGGGAGATTCGGGAGCTCCCCCTTCCCCCGTGCCTTGCACGACTGCAGCCCTTCCATCCCTTGCCGCTCGGACTTGCTTATCGCAGCCAGCAGAGGGATTCTCGTTCCACCCGCTTCCCCCGCGGCCCTCCCGGGAACGTTGCCTTTTAAAAATAGGCAGGCTGAGCAAGGCCAACGCTCTCTCGCCGAGCGCCCACAGGCATGTTCCTCTCCTCCAGCTTTCTTCTTTTTCCGTCAGTCGGAAAGTTCGGTGCAAACCAGGCTTTTAAACATGGCCATCAGATTGCACAGCCACGTCTGTCCTCGCAGGGTCTCGGTAGCTCCTGGGTGTTAGAGCCCGCCCACTTCGGCGGAGTTGTACGGAATTCGGATTGCAGCGGCGCGCTCGGATTGCAGCGCCGGGCGGGTACATGCAAGCCCCGGTGCTTCCAGTAGCAAGCAAGTTTGTTAAGGATTTGCAAGATGGCTTGCCCAACTCAGAGCCAGCTGTGTAACTTCTCGGATCTGTGCATTGGGGCGATGCCAATGTTGATCAGGACTTCCATCGTAACCGATGGATTAATGGACTCCCACTTCAACATGCCGATTCAAATTCCTCTTCCATCCATCAGTGGGTTTGCAGTTCAGTGAAAAAGAACTGCGGCGGAAGGCAGGCGTAGTGCGAACCTGGAGGATTGACTTTTCGCTGTATGCTTCCTCCGGAGTAGCTCACTAAGTTCAATGGGACTTACTTTCAGGCAGGAATGTACAGGATTGCTGCCCAGAAGTTTCCTTTTCTTCATTCTGTATCCGGTCCAGTGATCCAGTTTTGCATTTCTGAGTGGAACCACTATATCAGAAGCGGTGTTAGACAGTCCCCCGCGAGGCCATCTGCCTCCTCACCCTTTTGTCTACGGGCATTAGTGGAAATAAAAGGACAAGGGCCCTGATTATCTTTCTCATATCTGATAACCCTGGACTAGCTGGCCTTTTGCCCATCTCACCTCCTGCTCTTTGTCCCTGTAAATCTGTGCCTGGCTTTTTTTTTTTCTTTTCTGAAACCAGACACCCTCCTAGCCCCTGTTCATCATGCTTTTTTACATTTAGGGATACCATTTGGAGACAAGGCTCTGTGAAAACAGTCTTTCACAAGCAAAATTTAGACCAAATGCATATTTAAATACGTGTATATTTTTCTTCTATGGCTTGAGGTCCACATTGCTTTGTAGACAGGCTCATACTTAGTTAAAGCATGAAAAAAACAGGCACCTTAAAGACTAAGTATAAGCATTTGTGGACAAAAGCCCATTTACAATGGAATCCTATATAAATCATCTCGGATGTAGTTCAGTGGGGCCGTCTCCTATGCTAGTGGATGTAGGGTTATAGCTTTAACCAGATGTATTTTATGGAAAGCTTAACTGTATAGAGATATGGAGTTGCAATTGGCAATATCATAGGAGTCCTGGATTTGCTATGTAGTTTTAATTTCTGTGAGGGACCCAAGATGGCTTGCATAGCTCTTAGTTTATCCTCGGAACAATAACCCTGTGAGAAAAATCTGAAGTGGTGAGGAAACCATAGTCTCAGTCGAGGCCTTGATAAATAGACTTAAACCTACTGATGTCTAATCCAGAAAAATCACACTAAAATTTTTAAGTACCTTTTTAAAGAATTGCATTTTTCATGTGAGGAGAAGAATGGCCTCTAAACAGTGGATTGAACTGAAACATTCCCTGGCTGGTTTCTAAATGGCACCATTGCTGCTGTCAAATATGTGTCCATGTCCTCTTGGAATAATTTTTATTCATTTACTTGAGTTATATAGCCACAGCTTGCAAATACAGTGTGGGTCTGTAAGAGTGCAGGACTGGGTCTCAGGAGATCTGGGTTCTAGTCTCCACTCAACCTTGGAACTTTCACTGGGTGACTTTCTGCAAGTCACAGACTCTCACCTCAACCTACCTCACAGGGTTGTTGTTGTGAGGATAATATTTAGAAGAGGAGAATTGTTTAAGCTGCCTGAGTTCCTTGAAAGGAAAAAAGACAGGATATAAAAATAACTAATACATAAAATAATTAAGATACAATAGACAGTATGGAATGCAGCACTACTCCTAACATACTGCTTTTCTACAGGAGGCTTTTATTGTGCGCTTACCATTCCCTGCTTATAGCTACTTACAGAGATGATGTAATCCTCAAGATCTGCTTCTATTTTTAAATAGAATTTTGATGAGTTTATTTAGAGCAGAGACAATGCAGTGCTACTTGATAAAGTGAAAGAAAACAGTTTTTCCAGGAATGTATTTGCACTATCATATTGCCACTTACAGGCTCTGTAGCAGGAATGCGCTTTGGGTAATGCTTGGATCTCAATTCTGTGATGAAACCAGCAGTAAATACAGTGGATTAACAGCCTCATGTACAAAAGCCCATAAATTGCATTGTGGTAGGGAGAGTGACTTCTCATGCAGATTTTATATGTATGTATTTGTATAGGTATTTATTTATATATTAGAAGCCGTCCCAAGGCTTATGCAAATGGGACGGCATACAAAAATTCCAAATAAAAATAAAATAAAATAATGCAGTGCTAATACTGCTTGTTGGTGAGACACCAGAAAACACGGTAGTGCTAGCAAGTGCAATTGTCATTGCTTAAGTGGACTCCGGAGGATGGTGGAGGACAGGAAGAACTGGAGGAATGTTGTCCATGGGGTTGTGATGGGTCAGACACGACTTCACAACCAACAACAACAAAAAAGGGCATTTACAGGAGTGCAACCTAATTTAGATTAGTAGTTGTGTCACACTGGATACTATTGCGTATAAAACAATAAAAACTGAAACACAGATTTTAAGCTGAGAGGCCCAGTCAATAAAATGCAAGTTATTTCAAAGGCCTGGGAGATGAGATGCTAAAGGAGCCCTTGATGTTCTGGGTGATGTTACTAGGTCTTGCCATAATGTTACCTAAGTGGATGTAGGATAGAGTTGCCATATGCATTTGCTGCAGTTGCAGGTGTCTAATAACATTAGCCACAAGGAACAACTTTAGTCTACAAAGGCTTCTGCCTTATATGCTTGGCACATGTGCCACAGCCTGTTGTTTTTGCTGCAACAGATTAATACAATTACTATCTGGAATTGAAGCTTAGCAGCTAATGCTCTTTGCTTGAAGTCAGCGTTAAATCACCTTTTAAATCTGGATCTTTCGGAATACCAATGATGGGATTTTATTTTATTCATATTTAACCCATTTTGGTCCAGCGTATGCTGAAATGAGTAGTATTCCACATTACAAATTCCTACATTAACAAAAACATGTTGCTGCATTTCAGCAAAACTATACCATTTCTTCTAACTTCACAAAGACATCTGTATTTAAATGGATTAATACATTAATCAAACATCAGATACTTTACAAAAGAAAATCTTAAATTAGTTGACTATCTTGTATGATGTAAAAAGTAGGTAAGGCCGCACATATTTTCTTCAACCAATTTTGCCTGTTTAATGGTATGTTGAAGTGTGCTGGTTCAAGAAGATGAAATGTTTTTTCCCAAGGCCTCCTCTTGGTGCAGTAACTCTGCTAAAATTTAACTATAGGCAAGTTTATCCAGATATGAAAGTTCAGAGCAGAGGAACACAGCCCTTTTGGTGTTTGAGGGCTGAATGGGTCAGGCTCATGAGACTACACATGTGCATGCCATACCTGGGGAAGGGGGTCACTTGATAGTGCTAGCAAAGGAAACACTTCCCTTATCTCCAATCTCTGATTAGAAAGTGGCAATAAATGAAGGCATTTCCTGGCTTGCAGTAGCAAGAAAACCCCCTTACATTCTTGAGACTTGTGTAAAGTTTGCCTTGAAATAACAGAGGAGACTAAATTTCTGGCTTTTGTGATGCAAAATAAGTGTTGCAGTGTAATTTAAATGATGTTTAAAAAACCACAGGAAATATGAGATGCTATGATCATTTTAAGCTTTCCAGTGGTTTTCTTTGGGGGAGGGAGGGTATTGATGCTTAAAGGTTGAGTTTATGTTGTTACATGCCATCAGGTCATCTACAACTGTGATTAAGTGCCCTCCAAAATCTTTTGCTATTGACAGGCATGCTCAGCTTTGTAAGCTCAGGGCTGTAGTTTCTCTCATGGAACTGATTCATCTTATTTGTTTTGATCTTTTTTTTTTCTTTTTCTTATCTTTTTCTTTCCATAGCATCCTTAATTTTAGCTTACACTTCCGTAATTTTTCAGATCTGTGGTTGCCTTTAAAATATAAAAAATAGGCCCACAGTAGCCATTCAGTTGATTCTTCACGAGATTTTGTGACAATGTAGATTAACACATTTTTGTGACATGAGTATCATAGGCAAATACCTACTTCATCAGATCTTCTAGAATGTTACTAGAAAATGACTCCAACTCCAGAAAATGTCTGAACTACACTAACATTGCAATTTTATAATGGCAGTGGGACTTGTGTATAGGAATGCAGCCTAGAAGTATTTTCGTAGGTGAATTATGGGGAAAAATGTTTTCTTCTTTAAAGCTAGGTTTATCTTAAGCTTATGTATGCACTAGAACAGTAAAATGTTGTTTTAGAATAGTACATCAGCCCTTCTTCAGTTATTAATACACATGTAAATTAGGATTTTTGGGAACAGTCTCTGCCCTGGAGGCAGATTTGGTAGCAATGCAGTGGGGGGGTCCCTTCAGAAGCTAACCGTAGGGAGGGCCAGAAGTTCAACAAGTGACGTTTTCCATCATGCGAGGGGGAAAAGGAGGCTGAAGGTAGGCCACACCCGTTGAACTTCTGCCCGTCAGTAACGGACAGTCTTTCCGCGGGTGGTGGGGGGGAGATGGCAGCCCTTTTATGCCCATGAGGCCAGGAAACCGGCCCTGTTGGCGCGGGCACGTCGCCTGCACCGGTTTTGCAGCTGTCTCGGGGAAACGATGCCGGCGGGTGTCTCAGGCGCGGGGGCGCAGGCCTCGCTGCAGGACCAGGCCCCGCGGCGGCGGCGGCGGCCCGGGCTGCCTGGTTCCCACGGCAACACGGGCGACGCGCGGCGGGCCGGGCCAGTCATCACCGGCAGGCGGCGCCCAGCGGCCGAGAAGACCCGTCGGGACGAGGAGCGGCCCGCCGGCAGGGCATGCGAGCCGCGCGGGGGAAGGCGGTGGCCGGGCGCGATCCGCCCTGGGCGCTGACTGACCGCCCGCGTCTCCTTCTCCCCCGCAGCTTCCGCCGGCCCCGCGCGCTGCGCTGCCTGCCCGATCGTCGATGGCGGCGGCGGCGGCGGCGGCGGCCTCCTCTCCGGTGCCGGCGGCGCTGCCCCCGTTCCAGTTCCGCCCGCGGCACGAGAGCCCGGACTGGCGGCGCCTGAGCGCCGTGGACGTGGAGCGGGTGGCGGCCGAGGTGGACGTGGCGGCGCTGCAGGAGCACCTGGGGCACGTCACCTTCTGCAGCGCCGAGCGGGAGCGCTGCCCGCACTGCCAGGGCCCCGCCGACCCGCTGCTGCTGCGGCTGCTGCGCCTGGCGCAGCTCAGCCTCGAGTACCTGCTGCACTCGCAGGACTACCTCAGCGCCCAGCTGCGCGCCGCCCAGGAGCTGCTGCGGGCGGCCGACGCGCACCGCGACCTGCTCGCCAAGGACGTGGCCCGCGGGGCGCAGGAGATCCGGCTGCTCAAGGAGGAGTGCAAGCGCCGCAAGAAGATGATCGGCACCCAGCAGATGATGCTCCAGGCCGGGGCCACCTACCACCAGGTAGGCGGGGGGCTGCCCGGGCGGGAAGCGGGGGCGTCGATCCGCCCTACCTCGCCAGCCCATTCCCAGGCGTGTCTGGTCAGGCCGGGGAGTTCAGTGGGCTGTAGCCCCAGGGGCACGTGTATCTGGGATTGCTGCCTCCTCCAACTTCGCAGACCTGTTTCCAGTTGCTTCCACTGTCTGGAGACTGGAATCAACTGGAAGCCCCGTGCCTGACTGTGCTTGAAGCAGAATCGGTTGAATCAGTTTTTTGTTTGTTTAGTAGCAGAGTTGTGTCCAAACCATCACGATCCCATGGACAACCTTCCTCCAGACTCGCCTGTTTTCCAGCATCCCTCAGAGTCCACCCAAGCCCACACGTACCGCCCCAGTGACCCCATCCAGCCACCTCATCCTCGGCCATCCCCTTTTTGCTGTCGGTGCTTCCCAGCATCAGGGTCTTTTCCAATGAGTCCTTCCTTCTCATTAGGTGGGCAAAGTATTTTAGTTTCATTTTCAATATCTGACCTTTTAAAGAACAGTCAGGGTTGATTTCCTTTAAAATAGACTGATTTGATTAGTAGATTGGGTGATTAAAGTGATGGTCTCCATACAGTTTGAATTATTTTTACTCCTTTGGTCAAAGTTAACATGTAACATGAATCCTTGTGGCATTCACTTAAGGCTTCAAATTAATAGGCTTGTCTGTCTAAACCCAGGGTGTCTAACATGAAGCCTATCCAATAGTATTTGTAAAGGGGCCGCCAACATGATGCCTGTGGGCCCTTTTACTTTTTTAGTGTATTTCTCTGGATTTGTCTGAAATGCATCCAACTTTGTAGCAATTATATGCAGACTTCAACAAATATCCATTGTTGTTGGCATATGTCACCCATTTATATATCCAAAACATTGTAAGTACTGTCTGTTGCATTATAGGAAGTGAGTGGTAATCCTTCCAATTTTGTAATAGCAGTCTTTTAGCTGTAGAAAGGCACAGAGAATCCATTTCCTTTCATTTTATTAATTTTCATAAAGTAGGTAAATCATTTTAAAGCGTTTGTTGATCACTGATAGTAAAGGCTTTTCCAGTAAAAAAAAATTGGTCTGTTTAGTAACCTCCCCTCAAAACAAGCAACTACAGGACATTGCTAAAGCATGTTTAGAAGAAGCATTAGCTGTATTGCACTACCAGCAATTAGTAGAATTAGAGAATGCCTTAGTAACAAGGTGCTATGGTGTCCAGTAGACATGTAACAAAAGTTTTTGCCGAATAAAATGCAACCCTACATACATAGAGCTACAGATGTGACAAGTGTATGCCAAAGTGGTGATCCATTAATTAGGCATTTTGTGATGGTGCCCACAACAGTTTTTCAGGTTCCCACATGTGCCCATAGACCCCAAAAGGTTGGGGACCGTGGTCTAAACCAATCAGTAAGAAAAAATCCTAATGTTTCGGCAGCAGTAGAAATAAGATAAGTCACTCATAACCTTGGCCTAAGCGAAGTAGTCCTACTTACCAGACTGGCAAATTTCTAGTTTCCAGAAATAAATGCCTAGGAATGATGTGAAGCCAAGCCTCACATGGAAAAGTCAGACCTAGTGAAAAAGCCAAAAGGCTGGCAGGCAGGGCACAACCAGAAGACATGAGGCAATGAATCACCCCCAGGAAACTGTTGGAAGAGTCCCATTCTGCTACAATTGGTTTGGAATTTGGAAGAGATGCTTAAGAGAGAAGTGGTTGCTATATTCATTCCCACTTTATAAGAAATAATGAAGTATGTCTATCAGTCTGGGACAGGAAAAGCAAAAGAGATGTAGGAGAAGAAAGCCCAAAGTGTACAGCAGAGGTAGGCATCAGTTTCAATGGGTGAAGAACGGCAAAAGCTGGAAGGTTGTGAAAAATGCCTCACCTGCTATTCTTTTGTTGCAGTGGTAAACACAGCCAATCCACCCTTGCAAGGAGAAAGTTGTGGATGCAGGAATTCCCACATACTGCTCCAATTCCTGAGTTCTCATAAGAGCTCCCAAAATTGCATGTACTCCAGGTAGTGGAAACTGTTTGGGTAGGTCCCCCCGCCCCATCACTCCAAAAAGTACAAGGGAAGGCTCCAGCCTGTGTGCATGCCAGCTTAGGAGTTTGCATCTGAAAATGGGTGAAGTGCTGGACTGTAGGTATGTATTGTCCCCAAGGGCAGCTTGGCTCCAGATTTGTCGTAATGAACATTATTAGGTGCTGTGGGTTTGGGACCCGGCCAAAATGAAAACAGGACTGTCTTGTACCGCTCCCTCTGTGGCTCACATACAGAGGTATACAGACCACTAGTATGGTCTGTAAATTTTCGCATCATCTCTAGGGGTAAGAGGTGCGGGATATGAATTGTGGGGCACTCCAAATGATGATGGAGTGCAACGCCCATCATCTTTTATCACTGGCTGTGCAAGTTGAGGCCATTGGGAGTTGCAGTCCACCTAAATCGGGAGGTCCACACATTCCCCATCCCTGATTTAGTGCACCCAAACCCAATGTGTGGTGTGATTATGCTGATAGGATCCCCACACTTTTATCCTTGTCCCAGTTAATTGCACGTAAGTGCCTTTGATTTCTAATTCTGCAAGTCAAGGTACATATCTGAGGTGGTCCTAAAATGCAATCTTGTGTATGTGCCCTTAAGTACACTGTGATCCACAGATAGCTTAAGCTTCCCTTAGAGGATAAATAGGTGAAACAAGTAAGCCATGCTGTCTTAAGAATATATTGCTCCCACTGGGCAATTGCTTCTTTCAGGTTCATACTTGTTTTTACAAACTTACATTAGGGTTTGTACGCAGGGGTTACCAGAAGGCATATCTTCAGATGTTTTGGACCTCAGTTCCCAGAAACAAGGGGTCAGTAGTACCAGGAGTTGAAGTCCAAAACATCTGAACCACAGTGTAACCCAATTATATTTAGATCAGTGTATTACAGTGAGCAGGAATGGCTGCTGGGCTGGTGGTCACTTTGGGAGGGGTTAAAAATGTTTGTGCTTTTCTGAGTGTGGCCACAGAAGCAAGACAGAGCCTCACACAAGAAGGTCTTATTTGCAGCTGAAATACTCATCCCTGAAAAAACATGAGCACATAATCCCACTGCCAGTAAATAAGTCAGGTAGCTACATGAGTGAGAATGGGGCCATATGGTCCTGCTTGTTCTTACAGTGAAAGCTCAATCGCAGACATTTGCGTTTCACCTAATGTTAATGTGTTATGCATCATTACATGAGGAAAGCCATAATAATTAGATACTGTCATTGTATGGGTCCTGCATTGGTGTCTTTCAACATGTTCATGGGAAAAGATGAAACCCACATGGACTATTCTACTGGTCAAATGCACTATTTTGCAGGAGCAACCTTTTTCCTACATGATAAAACCTTGTTGTTAAATGTGGTTTATACTTATTAATGAATAAGGAGGTCCTTTCAGCAGTGTAGTGTGAGGCTCATCTCCACCAAGCGAAAAAAAACTAATGTGCGAAGTGCTAAAATAACTGCATAAAGAATAAAGCATGAAGCCACTACAGGCAAGGGAGTCAGTTTTAAGATGAGGGTTTGGTTGGAAAATGATATTTCACAGGCAATTTAATGCATTGAGCCTTGATAGGTTTCAGTAGGAGATCCCTGCTGCTTTTTGGCATTTCTCTGGCACTCACCCCTCGCTACCCAGGCTTTGTATGTTACGTTTATCCAACAAAAAAGCTACTTAATTATTTATACTCTTAGTGGCTCTTTCAAGGCATTTATATTTAATTGCATAGTAGTAATCAGTAACTTTTTTAATAGTAGATGAGAGCTGGGAATTCAATAAGAATCAGAGTTTAATTCCACTGAACAGGTTCTTAAAAGGCTATTTATTGCTTTTAGCCGTGTTTTACATTGTGTCAGCTGATACCCTAGAATTAGAACAGCAGTTTCTTCAAAATGTGTTCATTTGAAGCACATTGAAGAATAACAGATAGTGAAATCACCCTTCCCTAAATCACAACAGAATATGGCTAATAACATTCCTTTTATACTAATACTGACCAGAAGCATTCTGGATCAGGGTGTAGGTGTTCTGCTAACAAATATGGAATTGGTTTTCCTAAAACTTCGGAGTAGAAGATTTTGTGACCCATTTTGTTTTTCCTTTTTCAAACTGTTCACTGAGTCGTGAGGAGAGATGTAGGGGGAGTATGAAAACATGGAAGGAGAATTATAAATCGGACAAAGCTGGTACTTATTTGTATGGAATGGAAGCTGTTTACTACACTAATAAAAAGTAACCAAAGTCCCAACTTTGTTAGTATACTTTAAACCATTATAATTAATTCTTACAGATTTTAGATGCAAACAGAGATCTTTAAGGATTGGTTTAGGCTAAAATGTTTTGCCATTTAGGATTAAATCCATCCAGTGGGCTTAACTATTTCAAAACATAGCTGTATAGTTGAGAATGGTCCCTGGACTGCCACTGTAATATACAGAAATAATGCCTCAGAGTTGCCCACTAAAATTGCATAATGTAGTTTTCATTGTTGTCTGACAAAACTACTTTTATTTTACAGTGCCAATTTTGTGAAAAGGCTTTTATGAACTATTCCTTCCTGCACAGTCATTTGCAACGTCGCCATGCGGAGCAGCCACACATTGGTGAGTAGTGGAAAATAAATAATGCATAGATCTTAGAATTGGCAGTCTTGTCTATCTGTTTTCTTGTATGAAAATGGTCATAAAAGGTGGGAGGTACCAATCAAAAACGAGCAAGAATTGGAGACAGATGTCCAGTGAAGGTTGTCCTGATCAATACTAGTGGTTTTTCTGGAAAATTAGAAATCAGAAAATTTTCCAATGCAAATTAGGCTAGTTTTCATAGAAGATTTTCATAGGAAAATTTCCAGTTTGCATTTCTGATACCTTAGAAAGTTCTAATTTAATATGTTTATTTTATGTATAAACTAAAGTAAAACTAAACTTAAAAGCTTTAGCTATTGGTCAGTAGAGAAATAAGATGATGATGATGTCCCAGTACACTACAGTATTTTTACCTGAGACAGATGATGGGAAAAAATGAAAGCACAGAAAAAGTGCTTTAATGTATATTTTCTTACTGAAATATTTTTACATACTGTTGTCATTGCATTTTTTACATCAAGTGAAACTTGAATTATAACTAACTGGAGCTTAACTTTCAAGATGACTTGAAGTGAATTCTGTTTTGTTTTGTTTTCCCAGTAGTACAAATGCTAATGTAGAAATTAGATAGGCTCAATTATGTGTATAATTGAATGTTGGCTTCAAATTAAAAGGGGCAGGGCCATGAAAGTTTTTGCCAGCGTTTTACATCCTGAAGCTGATCTCTGCTTCCACCTTAAAACATACAGGGAGTATAAGCAAACATATTGTGTATATCCCAGAATGAATGTATCTTCATACATGAGTGTGACTGTGCATGCATGACATTATTACTCACACAGTAGCCCTTAGCTGATTCCCCTTGAAAGAAGGATGAAATATTCTCAAATCACTGTGTTGCTCTGCTGTTGAAAGCATTTAATTTTTTACCATGAGTATTCCTTCAGTTATATGATATGCCTGGATTTTTGCTGTAGCAACTAGCCAAAACAGTTCCTAAATGTATACCTCTAATGCTATCACCAATTTTCCTTTTTTTTCCTGATATAATTGGATTTGTGATCACTTTACTTCTTGTTTGGAGCACCTGCAAAAAAGCAATTTCTCTATTCTGTTTTTCTTTCTGGATTTGTTTTCTTCCTGTAATCTCAACTGCAGTTGCTGTCTGATGAAATTACTAAGGATTGATTTCAGGAGCGGCTTGGTCTAAAAGAAATTGTGATGTGCAATTTTCAGCAGTTCAGTTATCTTAATATATGCTGCTGTTTTTCCTTTCAGAGGTAGAGTCTTGCAGTTAAATGCAACAAATACTGTGGACAAAACAAGTATTCCTAGAGCTGGGCTGGAACTGGCATGAAGTTCCTCCCCTCAGCAGTTGTTATGTGCTGTCAAGTTGTCTGACGTATGGCAACCCTGTGAACGAATGTCCTCCAAAATTTTCTGTCCTTCACAATCCTGCTCAGCGCCTGTAAAGGCAAAGCTGTAGCTTTATTTCATATCTGGAGTCATATTTGGAATTCTAAATCTCGACTTCCCCTTGCATGATTGAGTGAGTCTTGTCTTCTCTCAATGTATGCAAAGCATGGCAGGATCTGGCTTGCTTAGTTCAAATGTGCCTTTCTCTCTCTCCAAGGGGGTGCGGGGGGGGGGGTTCTACTTTTTGCAGCAAAAACAGAGTTTCAACATCACTGATTGCCTCAGGACCTGGATCGTACCAAGATACCTACACCCTTCCCAGTCAAATAAGATATGCGTAGCGCTTAAAAATAAATGAAAGGAACAGCTGTGTAAAGCATGGGGAAATGATAAGACAGTGGTCAGCTTAACAGGGGTCTGTCATTCAAATCCTGAAGTCCAGAGGATGGGCTTAGCTGCCCTGGTTCTTCTTACCGTGACAGTCTTCAGTGTTGTTAGGGAGAAGTCAGCTTTGATGGTAAAGGACAATCTAATTGGAATCTTTCATAAGACTAAAGTAGTTTCGTTGAGCTTGTCCATTCACAGCGGTTATCTCCTTTAAGTTAGAATAATGGGTTGCATTCAAGAACGGAAGGTTATTCATGTAAGGAGCTTTCCTGTACCCATCTCCCAATTTCAGTAACCCTATATCAGCAAAGTCCTGGGTCACAACGATCCAAAATCAGATAGAAGAAAATTGCATGAGCGGGAATTTGCTCAGATCCTACCCCATGCCAGTATCTGGGGCGTGCATTGAACAGAATGTTTCACTGTTTTTTTCAGGAGCAGTTAGATCCAGTGGAATGTGATATGGTACTGTGTTGGACTGGGGACCTGGGAGATCCGGGCTCTAGTTCCTACTCAGTCATGAAGCTCTCTGGGTGACTTTGGGCCACTCACACTAGGTCTAACCAGCATCATAAGCGTGTTGTTGTACAGATAAAATGGTGAAAAGGAGGATTGTACAAGTTACATTCCTTGCAAGAGGAAAATGGCAGGATTAAAATGTGATATAATAGTAATAATAGAGCTCCTCCTTATAGAGCTTGGGTAATACTGTTCTGATAAACTACCAGGTATTGCAATCAGCAGAGCAGAATTTGGAAAAGCCTCTGTAAGAAGAGCAGCATTTCCTAAAATGTGAGCAAAAAATAAAGTAGTTATCCATATGCATTTCTTTCAAACAGATCAGAAGAAAAAAGCACAGACGGATAAATTACAGGAGGAAATCAACAAGCTGAAGGAGCAGTTAGAGCTTACCCGGTCTCAATTAGAAGCAGAGCAACATGCTCATATAGTCAAATTATCTAAGGTAAAGGCATACTCCATAGCAGCCCTCTATTTCTAGATGCTCTTCAGAGACACGAAAGGTAAAAAATAAAGGTATGACCCTACAGAGACTAGCCCGTGGTTTAATTCAGACTTCTGCAACCTGGTGCTCTCCAGCTGTGCTAGCCGGTGCTAGCAGTCCTTGCCATCACGGCCAGCGGTCAGCGCTGCTGAAGTTTGTCATCCGAAAGATCTGCAGAGTGACAGATTGGAGAGGTCTGGTTTAATCCTATTTAGTAAAACAAAGTAGAAGTGTATGTTATTAATGTCTGTATTCCTCTCCTGCACAGCATTCCTCAGACTGACACTCAGTGCATCAGGCTGGGCACAGATAACCTTTATAGGGTTCTAGCATTGGATCACTTCAGGAACAGGGTCGGTGCCTGAACCATGAATGCTATATGGGGTTGAGGGGTCTGGATCGTACGTTGTCAGGCATGGCCCTCTGAGGAGACGCATGCAGTCATGTTGCATGGCGTGAAGGAGGCAGGCCAGGCAAGCAGGGAGTCTGAGAATAGTTTGGTCAGTGTGTGAGCTGAGGCAGAAAATGAAATGAAATGAAATGAAATGGGGACAAGGACGAAGGTGGAAGCATAAGGCCTTGCAAGAACGGAAGATAGTGGCAGGGCAGGGAGCCTGAGTAGGACCCACAACTGATTTATATCACCCTAGCAAGCTGGCCATGTAAACAAAACTCTTGTAAGTCTGCATTATTTTAGAAATGAGAGAATATAATTTGGCAGTGACCTATGTAAAAGCCATTGAAGTGTGTGCCTAGGGATGTTCTGATGACAGGATGTGACTTGCATCCCCCAGGCGAGACTTTTGTGCTTCTTGCAACTTTTTGATTTGTTGCATCCATGCGAAGAGTTCTCAGAATAATACTTTAAAAGCAATTTTAGGAATATGAGGAACACCGATCCAAGGAGGAGGAGATTCGCCAGTTATTTCACAAATGGAAAGAAGAAGAAAAAGAAAAATTGGCCAGTGAATTGGAGAAGGTGAAAGAGATGTTTATGAAGGAGTTTAAAGAATTAACTGCAAAAAATACAGAATTAGAAACTGTAAGTAATTGAAGGATGAAGTTTTAGAGGATATACTCTGTAAAGTTGCTTTGGTTTGATCACTTGCTTGAGATACAGGATGTTATTGGCAAGTTGTAAATATAGGGGAAAGGCTAAGAATATTTTCTAAGCACATAATTTTATACAACTCTTGGTATGTTCACAGATCACATTTCAGGACCAAGAACTAAAAAAAAAGCTAAGGGCACCGTCCTGTGTGTGCTTAGATAGAGCGGTGTTCTAACAGCTCCTGGCTTTGCCCAGCCAGCCACAGTGGCTGAAGGATGCTGAGGGCTGTGGGAATTCTTTCTCTCAAAACATGCAGAAGATTGTCCCCTGTGTCTCTTAAGCTCCCTCTCTGTGCTGGGGTGAAAACTGTACTTGCACAAAAGCGCAGCTCCCACAAACACATGCTTCACTGATAAGGACTGGTTGCTTAATGCACAGTCTCATTTCCTGATGCAGCTGCTAGGACTGCCTGCGTAGAATACAGAGTTCTATTGGAGCAGGTACTCCAGATCCAAAAGGATCGGGACAGACTATGGAAATGGGCAGGAGACAACAGGGTGGCGTTCAGTGTGGATAAGTGCAAGGTCTTGCACTTGGGGCATAGGAATAGCTGTCATAAGTACAGGTTGGGGGACAAGTGGCTGGAGAGCAGCACTTGTGAAAGGGACCTCGGGGTGCTGGTTGACTGCAGGCTAAACATGAGTCAGCAGTGTGATGCGGTGGTCAAGAGGGCGAACGCCACCCTTGGTTGCATAGCCAGAAGTGTGGCTTCTAGGTCAAGAGAGGTATTACTACCGCTCTACATGACTCTGGTGCGCCCGCAACTGGAGTATTGTGTTCAGTTTTGGGCCCCTCATTCCAGAAAGGATATAGCCAGGTTAGAGTCAGTGCAGCGTAGGGCCACAAGGTTGGTGGCCGGTTTGCAGGGGATGCCGTATGAGGCGAGACTGAGGGAACTGGGTCTCTTCAGCCTGGAGAAGAGGAGACTCAGAGAGGATAGGTTGGCGACATACAGGTATGTGAGGGGATGTCACATGGAGATGGGTAGAGACCTGTTCTCCCCTGCAGAGGAAGGCAGAACGCGCTCCAATGGAGCAAAGCTCAGGGAGCCAAGGTTCCATTTGGATGTCAGGAAGTGCTTCCTGGCATCCAAATG